AATGTCAATTTATCATACACCCAAAAGCAAAAACGTCCAAATGACAGGAATAGAATGTCAACAAATTTCTCAGATGTCATTTCGTTATAGTTTTACTCGATTTTAGTTGTATTATATAGAGATGAAAATTGTGTATATCATGAAGAATGGCTGTAAAGGGCGCCGTACATTATGCTATTTCTCGGCAAGTTTGAGGCAATGCAATTTTCTCGCAATTTTCTCAATTTATTGCAAGTCGCCGTACATTGAGATATTTCTGTCATATGTTTTTTGTTCATATTCACTATTTTCAGGTTTTTTGAGCTTTCAATGTACTTTTCGAGGTTATATGATGTTTCAGGCCACGTTATGGAGAAAATTTGTATTTTATCAAGATGCTACGATGAATATTACTAAACTTGCCTTGAAATTGCAGGAAAAATAGGACTGGTTCTATTACGAAACTTGCATGAAACTTGCCGTGAAATATCATAGACGCATGCGCATTGTTCGATTCAAAATTTCATTGCATCGAACTTGCTGGTGAATAGCATAATGTACGGCGCCCTTAAGAATAAGTGGACATCATGGTTACTGATGAGGATTCAGATAATCGAAATGGTTTCATTGCAATAAAGTCATATAACCTGTGTGTGTGAGATGATATTTTCCATATCACTGATATGAATGATTATTTTTGGAAGTTTTCAAGCTCATCAAGATCAGACAGAGTTCATGCCAGTATACTTCTCCTATACATTCCAATTTTCATTTCAATGCTGAATATATTGGTAAGTCATATTTCTATATCATTATTCATCATATTATTCAACCGATTTGAAGAAGAATGTCAATTCTCAATTTCGGAGGATTTTATTCTTTATTTTTCATGTTCCCTTTTGAATGTTCATCAGATATAATTCAATGTTCGACGTGGCAAATAGCCAGGAAAGTAGTTGTTTTCTGTTGAATATTCAGAATGATGTGTGTATATACATTTTTTTGTCTGAAGGAGAATGCAAATTCTCAATTTCAGAAATTCTTATATTTTATTTTCAAACTCTTATCGTGTGTGTTCAATAGATATAATTCAATGTTCGTCGTGGCATATAGCCAGGAAAGTAGTTGTTTTCTATTGAATTACCTGGAAAAGAGTAAATATTCTCATCACATAGAGAATGCGAATTCTCAATGTATTGCTTTATATAAATATATATCCTTTTTTGTATGTTCATAACTCATCTGAGAATATTCCTTTTCAACACTAAGATAGTTTCCTGATTTTTCTGATGCAATTATGATCAGAGGTGGGATAGATAAATCAGACTCAATCTATGGATCATCTAATAGATCTTTTTGAGAAGTACATTTCGAAAAAGAAACAATGCTATGAATCGTTTAATCAAATCAATATAAACTAGAGAAAGAACACTAAATTCTGCAGCATTGAACATAAAAATTAGGATTAAAAAAAAACTTACCATAATAAATCACTTGAAATCACCCAATTGAGCATACCAAGAAACATATCTCACAGAAACTCACAAATTCTGATTATCACAGCCATAGAAAACCAACAACTACGAAGATTTTCGACTGAATCCTAGATCAAAACCAACGATTGCACCATTCCGCCGTAATCGCGGTTCAATCTGCGGAGATAGCACGACGGGAAATCGACTCATCAGCTGTCAAGTAGGCGCACACACACATAAACAATCGAGCGTGGCGAATGTTTGGTTTGGTCATAGACTACAGAAGATAAACTATAAGACTATAAGACAGTTCACTCGTTCATTTTTCGACTTCTAAGAGATCTCGCCGCAACCTAGCCGACCGCTGGATTCTGCCGGCTAACGACTGCCGGGGCCTTTGAAATCGCAATCTAATTAGCTGTCAACCGACCGCAACCGTTTGGCGGTGCAATGATTTATAGAAAAGCAAAAAATGCAATGTTGGGCTGTACCGACAAACGGATTTCACGAAGTGAACTATCTTCTAGAATTCAGTAATCTTTGGTTTGGTGGTCTGGTGGCGCAATGCAGGAAGACGACGAAGATGCGCCTGCGTTCGTTTTCCAGCAACGTCAAGGCAGGGAGTTTTGTTGTTATCTTTCGGATCGCAAGAAAGAGAATCATTGTTATTGTTGTTCATTTTACGAACATTGTGTGGATATGACTTTGAGCTTATTGTACTTATTTAATCATTATTATTAGTCCAATCAAAAACTCATTATGCCTGATACAACAATGTCTGATATACCACCATTCCTACCAAGACCACTTTATCTATGCTCGGTATTTCAATCAGCAATACTCTTTCATAGGAAAATCCTGTTCGATCCATCGCAAAGGCTGCTTCACAAAAACTCTGTTTCTTGTTCCATGTGAAGATTTACTTTACACCACAACAGCTTCTCATGATCTACCAAGCACAAATACGGCCAGTTTTAGAATACTGTTCTCATGTATGGGGTTCAGTACCCAAACATACGCTGATGATCTTAGATTCCATGCAGAGAAGAGCCATTCGCCTGGTGGATGATACCACCCTCACCAACTCTTTGACCCCATTAAAACGCCGTAGAAAAGTGACCTTTTACTTTTCTATAGATACTTCCACGGCAAATGTTCCTCAGAAATCTCTGTTATAATTCCATCACTAGCAATACCAGTCAGACGAAATCGACAGGCCCAGTCAGCACATCCCTTCGTCGTTAACCTTGAAATATGTCGAACAACACTCTACCAAAACTCATTCGTTCATAACGGCGAAGCTTTGGAATTCTTTGCCAATGAAAGTATTCCCAAGGACTCATAACCTTCAAAAGTTCTGGAAAAATTCCAACGCCTACCTCCTCTCGCTGTCCTCTCTAGGTACGCACGATGTACCACGAACATCATAGGAATTTCCATTTGTGCGCTCCAAGAGATTTAAAAAACTTATCTTTTTTTTCAGAAATCATTTATTCATAGCAACTAATGGACTGAATCATGTAGAAATGCTTTTAGAATAATAATGAGTCCCAATTTGGAGTTAAATAGATATAAAAGTAAATATGTAATTGAATTGAATACTAAAAATATTCTGACAACTGACAATAACATGGAATCCTAAAAACACTCTTTACAGAACTTGCATTCTTCAAGGACTCACCATCATCCTGTAAATACAATCTTTCCAGACCAAACCATACCAAAATTCATACTTAATAATCATAATAATACATAACTTCTCATTTAACTCCCCTCAGCCCCACAAATAAGTTTCCACAAGATCAAAACCTATGCTGATCAAAATGATCACCTACCTAATCTCTTCTCATACCTTCATTGAGTTTTTTTCATCAGTATTGACAAAGCGGGTAATATTCCAAAATAATTTATAAATTATTTCAACTTTACCACCCTGTAAATTGTTAACTATCAACATTTCACTAAGGTCATATTGGGCCACTTCTCAAATCTTGGTGTCAGGATTCTACTACTTTGTATGTATGTACTGATCATTATGAATTACCTTGTATAATGTATGTACCTACAGTGTATCAATATGTATTTACCTGATTATTGTATTCACGGCAATTTTATTTTACCGATCGGAAAAATTTAAATGTCTTCTTTGTCTTTTTTCTGTCTACCAAATAATACATTTCCATATAAGGCGTCCCAAGTCCAAGATTCAACTCATGAAACAGTTTTGCTGCTGACATTGACCGATTTACCGTTTGCCTTTTTTGGTATCTTGATATTATTTATTATATTCCACAGAAGGTACCTATCCTGTACACATGAAGTTAAAGCAATAATTTCTCTGTATTTTTCATGTTATGAGCACTAATTGAATACAGTTTGTCATTAATTATTGATAAGACATTGTAAAATCCTTAATTTGAGAAGATGAAAAGATTGACAATATTGGTGTATTCAGCTCAGTATTCAGGGTATCAGTTTTTCTTTTCTTGTATCAAAGAAAACTAATTTTTGTATAATATTCAAGCCAGTCTAGATGCAAATGGAATGTCAATTGATTTGTTTATTTACCTATGTATTTTTTCTTGTGTCCCTCCATAAACATATTATGTATGTTTCTAGGGATTAATAAATGTTATTATTATAAGTATAGGGAATGGATCAGGGATACCCGAGGGGATACCACTATTGCTCCTGATTAACAGCAGCTACATTTACATTGATTTCCAAATAATAATATCTTCATAATTCAATATTTACCAAAAAAATTCAGGATGATAGACAGAATTTTAGTAATCTATCTAAACATACATATACTAATAAATTGTAGTGAAACCTTGTTTGTAACAAAAATAGATACATTCAAGTTATATTTAATCACCCAAATCTCTTTAAATTTCAAGAAGGAAGTAATTTTGTGAAATGTAAACAAACAATATCTGAATTATGTTTTGAGAAACAAGAAAGACCTAAACTGAATTCTTTAACTACTTGATGACAAACATATGGAGCTGATAGCTGTTTCAGACAGTTTTTTATACACAAGTTTGGTTTACAACAGAAGGGAACAAATTTAAACCACATGTGACATGAAACTTTTAAGATATCACATTGCCACTGCCAAGAAGAATCCTATTAGAATAATATAATCATAATATCAAAAAACTTCAGTGGTCTATGACTATGAGATAGACTATCAATGTGAAATTGAAATTATTGAGAACTTACTATGTTACTGCTTCAAATATACACTTAACAGTTATTTTTTCCACATGGTGATTTGAATGAACTTTAAAGGACAATTTTTTTCAAACAACAATTTATTTTCTACAGTATTGTTCCAATCCAAGTCTTTTTCCACAGTAAATTTCTCAATGTTGGTTTATTTTTTCACCAATCTCATCATGTACTCAAGTAGGTAAAATATGTTTGCTATGACTCTTGATTCCAATCACAATTATCAAAAGTAGTAAGCACTAGTCCAGATTTATAGGGAATTTATAAAAATATAGAGCCATGTTGTGTGAATGAACATTTTTTCCCACTAACCTGATAATAAGGTGACAATCTATCAGGAGATGACCTTAAATCCCTAAGAGCAATGTCACTGAAAGATGCACCCTGTGAAGAATCACTTGGCAGGAGGGGCCTAGCTAGTTGCTGGACATGCTGAGCCTTACGTCTCAGGCCCCTCACTTCTGCCAGCAATGCTTCATACTGTGACACCGGCAATGACATAATTGTCCTCTACATACTGAAACAAAAGGTTCCTCAAATAACCTCTTAAGTACTTGAACATTGTTTCATGAGTTTAATGAGAATACATGTTCAACTATACATGTGATTCAATACAATATAGTCAATTCCAGGTTTATAAATGAAAAAAAGTTGTATGAACTTGAGGAAAAAACAAAAAAAAAAACAATGTTTTTGCCTGATTTCTAAAAAGTAGCTATAGTGATTTTTTTATTTCATTTCATGAAGTGCATCTAGAACATTTAGGTATTGATTTTGAATTACTATTGGGTGTATACATGGAAATATAAAATTATCAATGAACATCCTCAGGAAATTATTTTTGATGTTCACTTGAATCTGGAAAAGTACAACATAAAAACTCTGGAGAATATTCACGATTTTTTACATTATTTGACATGTTTATCATGATTTGATGAATTGATAAATGTCAGATATGAGTAATTTATTAGAATGGTTTTGGAACAAAGACAAAACTTTCCAGCTTAACTAATAACTTACCATGATTTAAAGTATACCAAATATTTTAGAATATAGTCATATATTCAGGAGAAACTATGTTTTTCCCTTTTACGGAAAAACTACAAGACGATAAACCATAAACGAAAACGACCGACATGACAGTTAAATTTTTTGTTTTGAGATTTTGACACTTGTGACAGGACAAGATGAGTAAGATGGCTCTTCTTCTTCTTCTTTTTCGAAGAGTACACTGATGACAGTATTGACTTGAAGTCATTATTCTTCCAGTTTTTCTAATTCTTCTCACACTTCATTCTAGAGAATTCTAGAGATATGAACTACTGTGTCGAAACTACCACAGAACATAATAAATAATATATTTCAATGTTCTCTGTTCTCTACTTCTCTAGTACGTTTTATTTTGCTTTGACATTTTCAGATTTTCTTTTTCGCATTTTGCATGTGTTGTTTGGTCTAGAATATTCTGGATCCTTGATTTCTATTTTTCTCTTATTAATTTGTATTCATCTCCAAGTGCAGTGATGTGTATTTAAACTGATTTTTAAATAATGAATTATATCATGATATTCACATGGGATTAGAATTTCTATGATACTTTTTAGATTTCAATGAGGCTGTTTTTATGTTTGAAATAGAAAAATATTAATAAATATGTTTGGAGTCATAGTTTCTGGAAGATTTGTAAGGCATGATCTGAAAATGAGGGCTTCTTTCTAACACTAATATTGAAATCATTACAGGTGCAAACTGAATTTCAACAAATCAGTGAAACTCAACTAGTCACTACTATCAATGATGCTGATAACATAAATCATGTTGCTGTGTTCCTGACTGGTGCGATCCCTTTTCCAGAAGGAACAGCTGGCCAAGGTAATTTTAGAAAACTTTATTTTCATTCCATTTTGTCTCTGTTTAGTATATTTCAGCTGGCCTGATCCTGTTGCCCCACCAAACTGGCAACCACTTGGATTTTTATCAAATCAAAAGCCATCTGCAATTTACAAAATTTCCAGCCTCAAAAGGTTGGAAGAAATGGGTGATTCTTCAAATTTGATGTTTGGACAAAGCCATATAGTCCACAATGCTCAAATAGGAATATCTATAGGTAAGAGTTACTTAGCTTGATTCTCTTGTTATGGTTTCATCTCATATATTATTCACATGGGTCCAAAAGCTGATATCTATATTTTGCAGAGCCCTTATCAAATATCCAAGATATTCCATCCCCCAATAATGCTGAATCATATGTTAGTTTTGCCCAGAAAATGTTGAAACATTTCATGAACTATGCACTGAGTTTCACCCTTACTCAGGCAAATATGGTTCCTGATCCCTCTGCAACATATGTACCTCTTTCAACAGTTCAAAATTGGTACACAAATTTTGAAAGGAGGCTGCAGCAGAACCCAAATTTTTGGAAATGATTATTTTTTAAAAGGATGGTAATCTGAAATAACATCTATATTTGATATGAATAGGAACTTGAATGGAGTCCTTGTGTAAAGATATTGATAAGTTTGTGATAGGTATGTGTGGCATTTTGCATTATTGATTGAAATTTAGCAATGTAAGTTTGAGATATTTAGATCTATGGTTTGAGTATAATGTAGGTACCTAATTCTTATAATTGAATCAAAATATTGATACTAATTAATGTAATGTACCTAGGTCATATTTTTCTTATTTTTGAGTTTTGATGTATGTTTTTAGAATTCCATGTTCATCAATACCAGTGAGTTAAAATTATAAAATTCTTATCACAAAATCAATTTTACTAGGCACTCCTATACATCAAATGGTTCAAGTAATTGCCAATTTCATATATCATGGGTACTAACATCAGTATAAGCATATTTTTTTACTTTTATATTATTCAGTAGATCTTTTTGTAACTGTCAGGGCTGATTGCATTACAACTTATATCTGTTTATAATCAGAAATCAACTCTAACTAACTCATTAGAAACTTGTTAGAATTAGCTAAGGCAGCTCAGATTGCTATGGATATAAACAAATCAAATATATCATCTATCAAATGTTTAATTACCACCTGTAATAATCTTTCAACTATAGATATTTTGCTTATTTGATTCCTATGGTATCAGTTGTATCAGTTATTTGTAATTTCATTCTGAATATAGAATGCTTTTCAATTATATGGAATATTTTTATTAAAATGGTTGTATTTTATGGAAAGAAAAAAGTTTTTGTTCATTATGTGTACTGTGTGCAAATTGTCATGAACATAATTACCTATGTACCTATCAATATTCAATAATATAGAAAATCATGATATAGAAAATCATGATATATATCCCATTCTTGCACCAAATTTGGGAAGGAGACAAGATCCACCTTTGAGAGGAGTCAAAGGTGCTAATAACTTCATTTTTGATAGACCTACTTCTCCTGTTGGGGAAAATAATTGTTTCATCCAGTGGCGTGTTTAGAATCTCGCTTTAGGGGGGGGGGCGAGGCAAAAATAAAAAATGTTGCCAAAATTTGTCATGATACATTGACCGATATAATTAAACGAAACAACACCACAACAACCATTCTTTTTTATTTTGGCTAAGCAATGAACAAACATGGAAAATAGCATACTTATAATTTTTTTTAGATCAATTATTTCAACCTGACCAGTCTTCCAGGCTCATTATCGTCTGGCTTTACTTGTGACGAACCTATTTATTACATTTTCAATATTCAAATCAACTTCTTTGTGAATATTAAGTAAAGTTAGACCATTCAAACGCTCTTATTCACCCATGGTTGACCTTAAAGGGCTTTATGGTTGAAAAGCTCCTTTCCGCTGTTGCCGTTGATACAGGTAGAGTCACAAATATTTGCAGTGATATCTTTATTGCAGGTGCAGGGAACAAACTCACTCGCCGCAAAAGTGCTTCCATTGCTGTAGAGGGCAAAACTGGTTTATTTGTCTATCTTTTTTGCCACATTATTTTTTCAGCTCTTTAGTTCTTGTTTTGATATGAATCGAGATTACTCATGCAAAGTTACCACCGCCACCAACTACCTAACTCAGCGACTCTACAGTCTAGTGCTACAGCTAACTGAACACTCTGAACAGTGAACGTTGGTCGTTGATCATTTGGCAGCCACGTGATCGGCCACGTGATCGCCACCGATTATATAAACGGAAACAACGATCGCCGGTCCGGCTGACCGGTGGGCGAAGAGAATAATATCATAATATTCCTCTCAATTGTTCCTGGATCCACTTCAGGTATGAACTAACTATTCGACGAGTTTTTCAGTGCATTAAATATTCACACAGTGTAGCCCTCTGCCCCCCCTCAAACACGCCACTGGTTTCATCCCCATCTTGCACCAAGATTCTCAAATCCCTAGTTCTGAAGTAAAAAAATATTGTAGTTGGAGAAGGTCTGATATAATAATAATAATAATAATATGAGGCTAGTAAATAATTATTATATCTAACCAACATGCGTATATGAAGAATTTGAAAAAAAATTAAATTGAAAGGTATTTGAGTGATGATTCTCTTGAAGAGATAAAAAAAATAGTCCACTGGCCTTTGCTGGCTCAGGCAAAGAGACCTCCATCAAGCTAGCAGAACCACATTGGTTTAATTTAAGGCTAATTTATTACTTGAATGGTGATTTTATTGGGGAAAAGATGACTCAAGTAATAGTTAAGAGTGGAAAGAATAAAATTGAAGAAAATGAAAGGCACCATGTTATTGCTCAACAAAAATCTAATGATAATGAAGCAGAAAAGAGTAAGAATATTGTTATGATTCAGGCTCACCATAACCTTCTCAATATTTAATGAAGTCATGTCTGTGGTCCTGTATATCGACATTTTATTCAGTTATTTTAAGCTGTTAAAATCAACAATAATGCCACGGTAATTTTGAAACAGCTAAAAATTTACCACAAGTAAAAACAGACGTCATGATTTCATAAGTAAGGGACACCATAGCACAGTTGCCATGTGTTGAAATACGATTGGGAACTTGAGAAATATTAGTTATTCAATAATTCATAAATCCTCAATTTTTGTATTGGTTATATTCTTAATTAGACATAAAAATCAATTGTCTCAAAATATCGCCTCATCTGTTGTGGCTTATTGCTTTGTGTTAATAGTAATATTATTATATTAATTCACACTACAGGACATTTGAGGGTGAACGTGACAACAGGGTATCAGGAACTGTGTGTGGTGCCATGGTGGTGCCTTGTCAGTTCTCACTGTTCTCAGCATTCAGCATATTGTTGTCAAGTCTTCAACATCAACATATTTTGTTAAGGAGTATAAGAGATATTTAGACATGCTGGTTGTTGGAAAAAGTAAAGAATGAACTATTATATCATGGCTTCCTTATATTATGTTTTATTCAAGGACAGGGACTAATCTTTTTGATAAATTGATTATAATTGGTAACTTGACAACCTTGCTTCATAAGTGGAAATGGAAGATTATCTGACCAATAAAGAAACAACATAAAAACTGATATTATCATTTATTCCACATATCACCAAATGGCGGCAATGATGATAAGTTTGAAATGAGCTCTGAAATTCAACATTTCACTTTTCAAAGATTCACTTGATTTCACAGATTCTATTGTCTCAGGTGGTACCCATCTCTTTATCTGAATTCTCAGTGTCATCTACTGCTTTTTTCTTCCAGTTCTTTGCAGCTGCAAGTAGTTTCAAATTCGGGCGACTTGCCTCATCCTCAGGGAAGATATAATCAAACACTTCTTCCCACCCTTGTTCAATGCCATCTTCATCAATGACTTTCTGCCTCTTTTTGATGCGCCTTGGCATCTTTGTGTTGATATTCTCTTTACTGGAATCATCTCCATGGGTGTTCTCAAACTCCCTCCAGTTTTCCAGAAGTAATACCCTTGCTTCTTTTTCAAAGGAAGATTTCAGTGCTTCATTAGCCTTTTCAAAGACCCTCCTTGCTAATATAACATTCAGTTCATCCTCAGTTTGATTGTTCAACTCAAATTTTGCATATGAAAGCCACACTTTTACATGGGATGTCCTATCCAGCAACCTTTCATAAATTTGTCTTGCATTTTCAGTTTCATCTTGTGCAATTTCAAAATCTATGTAGGCTTTCCACAACAGCTCAGGCATGTCTAATCTAGGCTGATTGATTGCTAGTTCATAAATGGCTCTAGCACGCTCTATATCTCCTAGCAATGTTTCCAGTTCTGCAAATTTCATCCAAGTAACACAGTTCTCAGGCCCAAACTCTAGGAATTTTTCATAAAGTTTACGGCAGCGATCAAATTCTCTTAGCTGTATTTCTAGCTCAATATACCCTCTGAAAAGCTTGTCCCTAGGACACATTCCAATAGACATTCCTAGTATTTTTCTAGCTGTAGTTAGATTCTTTTGTCGAATTTCAAACTGAGCAAAGAAAAGCCATATCTTTGAGAAGGTGAATATTTTGTGTGGAAGGAGTTCTAAGCATGCTCTGTATACCTGCCTAGTGCGTTCATAGTCTTTAGATTCAAGTTCTTCAAATATGGCATAGTTTATCCACAGGTATATGTACCGTCTCCAGTACTGCTTTTGCTTAGAAGGAGGAATATTAGCAATAGCACGCTCATATGTTTCTCTAGTAATATCCATATCCCCCTCACCTTCTACTAGCCTAAGATAATCAAACCAAGCATCATAGTTGATGGGATTTTGTTGAATCTCTTGTTCATATTGGAATTTGCGTTTTGAAACTATTACTTCTTCAATACCACTCCTATCACCAAATTTTTTTTCATGGATGGTATATGCTTTGTATAGTTCTCTGGTTTGGTCTTTTGGTATGTGATCAAGAGCATACTTATAAATCACTCTAGATCTATCATGCTCCTTTTGGTTTTCCTCAAATCTAGCAAAAGCAATATACAATTTTTCATCCAAATGATCATCACCAAAAAATTGTACTGCTCTCTCAAATATTTGGCGTGCTGAGTGAATAAAACCATGGTTTTCCTCAAATTTTGCATATTTGATCCAGTGTTTTACTTCAGGATGAGTGATAACAAATTTCTCATATATCTGCCTGGCTCTGTCAATTTCTTTGAATCTCAATTCAAAGTTAATGTAGGTCTGCCAAGCTTGTTCATCTGGTTGCCATTCCATCCAACGTTCAAACACAGCTCTTGCACCTGGGATGTTTTCCAACATTTCTTCCATGTAGGTATACTTGTACCAAAACTGATTCACCCTGGGTAAGATTGTTACAGCTCTGTCCCACAGGTTTCTGGCATGGTTGACCTGAAAATAAATAATACAGTGTCAACTCATCTTGATGATATAAAGTAATTTTAACTTGTCTGTTTCTCATTTCCATTTCTGTGTACTTCAGCCATATTGTGATATTCCTATGGTCCACATCCAGAGCTCTTTCCCAAACTGATCTAGCTCTCTGTATTTCCTTTTGAGATTCTTCCCACTGAGCATATTTTATCCAATTTGATACAAAGGCTCGGTTTTTCCTGATATTGTCTTCAAATTGTTTTCTCCTACGTAGCTGATAATCTGCTAGCTCAGCTGGATCAGAAATTTTTTGCTTTGGTGGAGGTGGTAGAATCTCTAAATCTCTCTCTTTGGCTTCACGTAGCAACTGCTCTGCTGTTATTTGTATTTCGGCAGGGGCTTTATTTTTAACCTGGAATTAGAAAATGTTGATGTTGGTAAAACAAAAAGTTTAATCAGTATTTTACTTTTGCCACTTTTGGCATTTTTTGAGGTTTGGCCTCCATTATTCTCCTTTCAGCAATCAGAACTTTTCTCAAGTGGATATAGACATAAATCAAGAAAGATTTATGTATAAATCACGTCTGAATAAAGCCAGGAGCTTTCAGAATTTTAATGGAAAATTGAAATATTTGTTTACAATTTTTACAAACCACAACAACGTGAAAAATACTGACACTGACAAGTGGTATAACCTCAAATCAAATGAAACCTTGCCATAACCGTCCTGTGCAAGTGAGTGCCTGTGGCTCTGGGGGTCTCAACCACGCTTACCGATTCTTCTCTCTTTAGAACCTTACCCTCACGGTTGCTTAGTAATTGGTGCATGTGACCTACTTTACTGACCCACGTGTTTACACCTATTCCTATTAGGTTATGTTTATGTGAATTTGTTTATAAAGTTTTTGATATTATTGTATCTCATAATTTCAATATTAACAGCAAAAATGGAGTCTGAAACGAACAATGAAGCTAAACGCTTGCTTTGCTGTTTTAAATCCGAAACTGGGGAAGTTGCAGGAGATATGATGGACCTGCCACTGAACTGCAGTACTCAACAACTCACGTTGATATGCAATGCTATTTTACAACAAGAGGAACCTGTACCATATTTGTTTTACGTAAATGACACAGAAATTACACATACTTTAGAAAAAGCTCTCAATGTTGCCAATTTGAATACAGAAGGTATAGTTGATATAATCTATCAGCAACAAGCTGTCTTCAAGGTGCGACCTGTTACAAGATGTACAAGCTCTATGCCTGGGCATGCAGAGGCTGTAATATCAGTGAGCTTCAGTCCAGATGGCAAACATTTGGCTAGTGGTTCTGGTGATACAACTGTTAGATTTTGGGATGTGACTACACAGACACCTAGTTACACATGTAAAGCTCATAACAATTGGGTTTTGTGTATAGCATGGTCTCCTGATAGTACCAAGCTGGCATCTGCATGCAAAGATGGTAAAATAAATATTTGGGACCCCTTTACTGGTAAACAAATTGGAAAGACCATGATAGGGCACAAACAATGGATAACTAGTTTGAGTTGGGAGCCCTACCACAAAAACCCTGATTGCAGGTGAGATCTGGTATTGATGATCAAAAACCAAGGGGACATATTATATCTTTGTTTCAGACTTTTAGCTAGTTCCTCTAAAGATTGTGATGTCAGAATATGGGACACCACTTTGTGTACTACAGTTCTTACCATTGCAGGGCATACAAAGGGTGTTACTGTGGTGAAATGGGGTGGTTCTGGTCTCATTTATACAGCCTCCCAGGACCGGACTGTGAAAGTATGGAGAGCTAATGATGGTGTATTGTGTAGAACTCTAGAGGGGCATGCCCATTGGGTGAACACACTGGCATTGAGTACAGATTATATATTGAGGATAGGTGTGGATTTTATATTTTATTCAAATTATAGGTATGTGGTTGCTTCAACTTTCAAATGCATCTATGTTTTCAGGAGCTTTTGACCCTATCAAGGATTCAAATAAAGATACATTGATGCCTGATAAAAAGAAGTCACAAGAATTTGCTCTCAAAAGATTTTATGAAGTGACTGAAGCCCTTGGTGAAAGACTAGTATCTGGATCAGATGATTTCACTTTGTTCCTTTGGAATCCTGAAAAGGATAAAAAACCAATTGCTAGGCTCACAGGTAAAGATAAAACCTGATAATCCAAGACTCATAACTAACAAAATAGGATGAGTATAAGAAATAACCCTGAAACTAGCCTTTAGGATTATTAATTTTGTACATGTTCACCTAATTTGGAATTGTTAATTCAGAAGTTATTACTTTAAGGTCATCAACAACTTGTTAATGATGTTAAATTCTCCCCTGATGGAAGAATCTTAGCCTCTTCTTCATTTGATAAGTCCATAAGGCTTTGGGAAGCAAAAACTGGGAAATTCATTTGCACTCTCAGAGGTCATGTCCAAGCTGTTTACATGGTGGCCTTCTCAGCTGATTCTAGGTTGATGGTAAGTGGCAGTGCTGATTCTACATTGAAATTGTGGAATCTAAAGACGAAAAAGTTGGAAATTGACTTACCTGGACATGCTGATGAAGTTTATGCTGTGGACTGGTCAACAGATGGACTCAGAGTAGGATCTGGAGGAAAGGACAAGGTCTTGAGGTTATGGCAAAACTGAATGTTTTAAGCAAATAAATTCTAGATATATTCAATTTATTGATTTCATAATTGATAGTTATCTTCTTTCATAAATACAAAAATATCTTGAAATAATTAAATTCAAATGAAGTGTATTTGGGATTTCTTCTCATCAAGAATTTGACAAAAATCTGTGAATTGAAAATTCAAGAGACAAAACAAGACAAGAGAGGAGACACAAGACAAATTGAGCATTTTTCCTACAATGCCCTCAAAATGTTATAATTCTCATTCATTTAAACTGCAATTATTGAAGTTTGAGGTTTGAATTTGCTATTCATAATTTTAAAAAATATCCATCTAATGGATGCTAGAATTTTCTCAGCAATGCTTAAAATTTGTAATTCACAAGCTTGTAAATCAGAAGTAAACATCAAAGTTTCATGTGAAGTAAAATAGGAATAAAAAACTACTGATGGTTTGATAAAACTTAACTTTAATGCAACAAAATATAACAATAATGAGAAAACATTTGTGCAAAATAAATTAAATAAATATATAATTTTTTGTTCTAATACTTGCTCAACATCAGAATAAATATTTAAGTACAATATTTGAATAATTATTATTTCATCATTGAGCTTGGTAAAGTTTCTGAGATACCTGTTTTATAGCAGTCTTTCAAAAGCATTTTTGGTATAATCTATTATATAAAACTAGTTCATATTTGCTGCAAAAGTTTGAATGGATTTGTGCCATAATGTGATCTAATTAGGTACTAGATAAGACTTACAGTTACTCATTTCTTCTTTTTACTCCAATAATCTTCACTTTGCATTTCATTTAGCCTTGATACTGTTCTATCAAATGCAAAAATTTCTTCATGTCCACTAAAAATATTGACATCAAGATGCTCTTCACCCATGTCCAAGTCATCCAACAGCTTTCTGTTCTCGTCACTCATCCCTTCAGGTTGATCCTTTGGTATGAAAAATACTTCTCCTATGGGCACGTCGGCAGTGAATATGACCTTAATTTTGTTATCATACAGTGCATCAATAAGTGTAATGAACCTTCTAGCTTCAGATCGATTTCTACTGATGTCTATCTGAGGGATATCCCTTATTATAATTGTATGGAAAACATGTGTCAAATGTATGTAATCATTGGGGCCTAAGGGCCTCCCACACAACTCCTCAAATGAAGTTTCTAGGACTCCTCCACATACTTTATTGAATTCTACATTTCTCCCCAATATCCTGAATACCTTGCTACGTACTACATCATTTTCTCTGGATGCAAGGACTTTGAATATTTTTGGTATGGGATCCAAAGGAAACTTAGATTTCACAAAGAAGTTGGTTCTATTGCCCATAAACTTCAGACGGTAATCTGTACCAGAGTCCAAATTAACTACTTCACAGTGATTTTTCAAAATCCCTATGAAAGGAATGAAGTTTGATCTTTGTAGTCCATTTTTGTACAAATCTTCTGGAGGTCTGTTACTTGTAGCTATTACTACAGCACCATTATCAAATAAGTGAGTGAAAAGACGTTTTAAAATCATTGCATCAGCAATATCAGTAACTTGAAATTCATCAAAACAAATAAGCCAGGAATTTTCTATTATAATATCAGCAACCAGTGGAATTGGATCAAATGGTTTTGCTTTTTGTTGTTGATAATCAATAATGATGTTTTGTTTCAGCTCATGCATTTTTTTATGTACTTCTCCCATAAATGCATTGAAGTGCACTCTAGTTTTTCTATCAATTTCACAACTTTCATAAAACAGATCCATCAGCATTGTTTTCCCTCCTCCAACAGCTCCATGAATATAGAGGCCCTTAGGAGCAGACTCTTTCCTGGCAAAAAATTGGCTAAAAATATTCTTCTCAACAGGTTTGTAGTGCTTAATATCATCATACACTCTCTGAAGGTTGGAAGAAATATTCATTTGTACTTCATCTCTCTCTAATTCTTTTGTTTTTATTTTGTATTCTAAAAGTTCTAAGGGGCCCTCCATCAAAAGTTTATGTTTTGCCCTGAGTGAATAATTCATTTTTAGGAGAAGGTTGCAGCAGTTTTTGATGGACAAGAAATCATTTTTAAATGTTAAGTATGATTTTATCATTTTCCATATGCCTGAAACAATTATTATATAGATTATATATAAAATAAGACAAAATTAAGGATATTTTGATACTCACGTTATTCAAAAGAATTATAATGAAAGGAACTAGCAGTTATTTTTACAATTTCTTAAAATTTCAAGTTGTTAAGGTTTCCATCGTTTTCCGTCTCCCTGTTTTTCTCATCCGTATTTTCATCTTGAACAGTTAGTTAAGGTGGATTTATGCACAACGCTTTTTCATTTATCTGTTGCTTTCATTAAGTGTCATTAAGTTTATTTTTATTTAAGGACTATGATACCTTTATGCACGACCACTTTTTAATTTTGAACTCTTCTTCTTGGTCAAAACATAGTCCTCATCGTACATAGCCCGATGAAAATATTTGTGTTATAACATTCAGTGATCACATAATTACAATAAGAATCAATCATTCATATTGTTTTCAAAGTCTAATTTGAACATACGACTAGAATTTTCATAATTTTCAACCACATTTTGGCGAAAGAAGAGGAAGAAATTGTTTGTCTGACTTCTGACAGAGTAGCGCCTGCGCAAGTCACAGTTTTATTTGTATTTGTCGTTAAGAGATAAAAGTTGGTCATCTTTTAGCGAATAGTTAATGAAAGATTGAATTCAATTTAGGTGCATAAATGAATGAACGGGAATACCAAGTTTCAACTTATTAGTGAAATAGTTAATGATTGTGAAGTTACAGATAAATGAAAAAGCGGTGTGCATAAATCCGCCTTTTACATAACTTCATGTAACCTTGAAGGCTTGAAAACAGTTTGACAAAGACCTTGGCCGGATAGCCATGCCCTGCACTGCCATCGTGCCATTGATCGTGCCTAGCACATTGTGATAACTACGAAATTAGCGGAAAAAATTACACAGTTTTCACCTATTCCCGGTCCGGTAGAATGCAGAATGATTTGGTAATTTTCAAATAATCCCACACTGAAACTTTTGAAAATGATAAGCATAATAATTTATCTACTACTTTAAGATGATAAGACTTACTTTCATCCATTTCATCATTATGATAAGTATGAAAATGATAGTATGAAAGTGAAACTTTGAGCTGTATGTTCGTTCTTATACTTCTTATAAAAAAAGAAGAAACAACTACATGCTATGAGGTAACTGGCCACTTAGATGTATATCCAATCATTGAGAAAGGGTAAAACTATAGAAGAAACTGACAGTTGACAGATTCATCATGCTGACATTTGCTGACGTCTCTACTCTAGAAGAGGAAGATAGATAGATAGATAGAAAATATAGGGAAACTAGAATAATTATGTAGCAGTCATTGTAATTTTCCTGAAAAAATGAACTTTCTAGATTGTTTATGCGAATTGTAGTTAGTGTAAAGTACTTGTGATATTGTTATTTGTAGTAAATTATATGGCACCTTATGTAATTCAAATTGTATGAAGCACACAGCAGTTTGGAATTAGAGGGACAGACCTAATCAAGATGAAAGGTGGAAAGATCAATGCAGTGTAGTGAAAATAACAGCATATGTTTGTGAGATTTCAAATTCATAAAGGTATGTAGATCAATCAATAGATTTGTATGTGGCATTTCAAATCATGAACTTTCTATTATACCCTAATGACCATTATCTGACAGTAGTTCTGTTCTCTAACCCAATTTTCGACTGTCCGATTTGGCATGAAATGAATCAGCCCAAATAGGAGAAAAATCGAAATGCCTTAAGTAAGGTCAAGTAATCTGTGGCCTGGAAGTTTTTATCAGCACAAAAAAAGGGAAAACCATAAGACAAACTAGTCGAAAAGTGACACAAAATGATTTGTCTTATTACAGTGAGCTATGTCTTGGATGAAAAGAAGAGGGCCAAACACCCCTAGTCCTGCACCAGTCTCAGCCCCTGCTGTGCCAATGTATAATCCAAACCAACATTCCAATGCACAAGAGGTAAGTGGTAGAAACCATAGAGATATGATGACCACCACAAACACCAGTAGGTAACACCAGTTATATTAATTTTTACTTCAAATGAATGTACCTATTTCACTTTCATTTGTAAATCATAATTATTTATTTACCACTGCAGGATCTGGTTTACTGGTTCTATTTATTTATTTTATTTATTTATTTTATTTATGACTACATGATCTGGGTTTACCTTTTACCAAAATGCATCATGTGTGCACTGTGCAACCATCATATATTCAAACAATGATGTCCAAACCAAGATAAAAAAAAATTCATTGGATTTTCTTCACCTAAGTCTAGTAAATACCTATAATCTATTCCTCATTTTGATATAGTTGTAGTTATTAACTCATAGATGGCAATAAATTCACAGACCACAGATCCAAGACAAAATAATATGAAGCAGGTATTGTGGTAGGTATATTCAGGGTAGAGATACAAGAATAATATATAAAAAATGTAGTCTAACAAATTCAAAATGCTGCAAGGTATAACAGAATGACTGGTTTGAAATTCACTATGAACTAGTATCATTGGTATCTCTATAATATTTTTCCAAAAGCAATTGTTGTTTGAAGAATGATCAATGTTTTTTAAAATATGATATTTTTTTATTGTTCTGTAGGATTCAGCTTCTTCTGAATCCAAATGTATCACAAATTGGTATTTGAGTTACTTTTTCCAATTGAAATGTGTACAAAATTTTATCAATACTTTTGTGTTTGTGGTGTTATGTATTATTTTGAAAAATAAATGAATATACTATGGGCTTATTTCTTTTTTTTTTATAGCTAACTCAATCTTTTTTACACTAATTTATATTCATTTTTTGTGACATTCTCTTCAAATTGCAGACAAAAATTTAGAAAAAAACTGAATTTCACAGGGCAATCAAAGACATCAATAAAAAATATGATTATTCTACAAACTTTGGTTAATGTTGAGAGAAAATTATATTGATACCAGTTTATATTAAGTTCCAAAGCATTTATTTTACTTTTTAAAATCTGAAAATTTTTAAGTTATACTTGCAGTCTTTTTATAAGACTGTACAATTTCAAGCTTTCATTCTTCTTAGACCATTCATTTCTTTGCTTTAACTTGATTAGCTACTTCTTCCATAGCCTTCCTGACAGTCTCTGGATCTCCTAAGAATTTCAAACTCTCATTTGGCACAGGTTTCAAGTTCTCATCCAGAATGTAATAGAATGGTATGCCAGTCGGCAAATTCAACTTCATGATATCATCATTGCTCATTTGGTCCAGATGTTTGACTATACCTAATGAAATGAAAATGAATGTGGTCAACTCATTTTATTCAGTATTCAAAAATGAAATTTCAGTATCCAACTTCCTTTAAAACCTTTGTTTTTTCATCAGCTGACTGGATATGAAATAATATTCACAGAATGCAAACACTCTAATGAGGCAAAGTTCCTACTAGTAGGACACTTCAGCAGTACCTGCCTGGTCAGAATTGACAGGAATAAGATCCAAAACAATCAAAAATCTCCGTTCTTTCAGTTCACCTTGATTCACTACCGACTGTGAAGGGGGGAATATAAATAATTATATCAATAATGATAATAATAATAATAATAAAGATGATAATATTTTTGTTCCCATGAAACAATTAACTACAAAGGCAAAGATGGTCCAACGAATAATTCTCATTTTCAGTTCGGGCATGAAAAAATTAATTAAGGACATATAAAACATTGATGGAAAACAGTTTCATCCACGGACATATTTTGGAGGTTTTAGTACTTTCATGGCCAGCCAGGAATATGGATTAGTAATAAATGACCGTTGGTGGTATGGCGCGCGCCTGGAATATTTGGCGAAGTCGTGGCTGGTTTCACACTGATGAAAACATTTCAAGTGTTTGTTGAAGCTTCAAATTCCAATATTCATCTCATGAAGATACATTCAATGATGTAACATTGATATAAGTGCAAAATGAGCCTTTGGTGTTATGCCACTGTTGAGGGGCTTCAAATAATGATATGTCTGCACTCGTTCAATGAAGGGGTACAGAAAAATGACATTCCATCTCTTATAAAACATATTTGTGTCTCATCTGTTGTTCAGCTGTTTAACAAGATGACAAGCGTGTCCACGCTCTTTAAAGGTCGTGAAATAAGATGTTCGAGGCACTCTAGGTTTTCCTAGCTTAATGGTTAAGCTAGCAAAATCCATGATTGAAAAAAAATGTGCGAGAATCAGCAATATGATTTACGAAGTGGTTTTGCTAGCTTAAGGTTGAGCTACCAGAATCCACTTTTGCATGAATCGAAGAGCAATAGATTCGTCAATCGGGTAATGTTCCTGCCTCAAATTAGCCATTTTAAAATGATTATGGCCGAAGAAAAAATTGAAAGTTTCTAAGTGGTTCTGCTAACTAGATTGAAGTGACAAGTACGCGCCTCTGAGACTGTTCCCGTGCGCGGCGATAAGAACCCGCTTTCCAGCCTTCAATTCTGGCACGACGACGTCGTTCCAGAAGGGCAGCGTCCGCGCGATCGTCAGCTTGAGCGACTCGAACATGGGGAACTCCTCCTTGGGGGGCCCGTCGGCGTAGATGGGGTCTTGGAGGATGGTGTCGTAGTAGGGGTTGTCGGGCGTGATGGGGGGCGGGGGCACGTCGAAGCTGCGCCGCCATATCGCCACCTGCTCATCGCCGTATTTGGCCACGGTGTCCACTTTGTTCAGACCTGGCATCAAATTGAATCGAACTTTATTCATTCCATAAGTCAATAATGGCACTTGAAAATTAAGGAGACAATATGTGTATAACATGTATAACATGGTCCTTCGAGCCGGATCATATAGGATTTTACCTACAGAAATATGTGGTTGGTTCCCACTTGATACAGCTAATATAGTAGTTTGATAGCAAAATTATATATTTTTGATATTCTAGTCTCTGACATTGAAAGTTCTTTATTAATTTTGCAATTGCATAACAAAATTCTGTAGTATTCATGACAGAGAACTATGAACAATAATAGTTATAAAGTTATACAATATGCTCTCCCATCACTGGTACAAATTATATAATTTGTAGTGCATATTTCTGCACGAGGAAAGGTAATATATTTTTGTGAGCGTCATGAGATATGCAAACTGACAGAGCTAAGGGATCCGAAAAATTTAAAATTTTGATTTTTTCATTATTGAATGGCGAATAAATAAAAAATGAGTAAAATAGGATTTTCTCATTAGTAGATTTTAGCTTCATTGATCTTCATTTTATTTCTTATTCAAAGGAACTGAGTAATAGAGTGTTATATGATTTTCATAGAAGTGAGTGATAAATTTTGTCGGTTACTCGACCGAAAAGATACTTATAATAATGAATTTTGAATTGACTCGGCCGTTACTTGATGGAAATCCATGGCAAATATAAAAACTTCACAAACGATAAGATTTCCACAAAATTCTCAAACACACAACATGTTTCGCTAACACAGTAGCTTCGTCAGGTGATATACTGGTACAATGAACTAAACCAACGTTGGCTTGCTTAACTTTTATATATCCTACTTTCCCAACTTGAAGGATAAGTTACCTGTAGACAGGTTCGATAAACCTTCATTTTCGGAAATTAGGCACAATATCTACATTAAAATACAGTGTACCGGTGCATAATAGGTAATAATATTTATTTGATATTAACCATTTCAAGCTAATTCGGTACACCGTATTTTAATGTACATATTATGCCTAATTTCCGAAAATGAAGGTTTATCGAACCTGTCCACAGGTAACTTATCCTTCAAGTTGGAAAAGTAGGATTTATGAAAGTTAAGCAAGCCAACGTTGGTTTAATTCATTGTACCAGTGTATCACCTGACGAAGCTACTGTGGTAGCAAAACATGTTGTGTATTTAAGAATTTTGTGGAAATCTTATCGTTTGTGAAGTTTTTATATACGCCTATTGTCTTTGACCTGGACAATCACAAAGCAGCACAGCAGAACAGCAAGGTATCAGAGAGAGATAGCTACAGTTCAGTACTGATACGTCACGACCCCATTCTAATGGAAACATTCTGAAGCAGAATGTTGAAATTATGTTAATTTGAAATGATAAGAGGTATAAATAAATGCTAGTGCATTTTTGAAGAAAGCGTTGATGGTCAAATTTCCAATTGAGGAGACGCGATTCACTCTCGTTAAAAAATGAAAGACAAAGAAAGATAATATATGAACGTACTCTTCCCTGAACATGTAGAGGAAGGTAAATACATAAGAGATAATTGTAGGAAAGTTTGAATACAATTTGAAATGTACCGGGTGAACAACAAAGAACGGCTGTCATATCTATCATTCTTCCAACTTTGATAGTTAATATCTTCCGTTGGCGAAAAGCTATCATGTTGCGGTTTTCGTTGGTCTGTTGAGATTTAGTTTCTCTATTACATCGTGTAATGATATGCATACCATTAGATTTATTCTATCTCGAACTTGTATCATTATTCGTTGCTGGGATATGGCCGACAGCCGTTCTTAGTTGTCCACCCGGTATTTATCAATACAAACATTTCTCAAATGAATTTCATGGAGATTATTACAAAACTACATTATAAAGACAATTTAGTTCGAAATTGAAACGTCGAAAATAATCTGACGGTGACAGACTTGTCAATGTATAGAAGTGTATTGATATCATTGTGTTCAGTTATTGGGGTAGCTAGGTAGATGTATGTTCAAAATTACTTTTGATTGGTCAATCTCAGGAAATTGAAGAAATCTCATATAATACCGAATGATCGGCTAGAATCACGCATAGTTTAACCATCTGAGTCGATCCGTCTTGCAGTGGAGTGAAGATAACAGGTCAGGAAGAAAATGTTACTGTCAACTCCACCAAAACTATACTTTATTTAACATTGGAATTGGGACATGTTTCGAAGCTTCAAAGCTTCATCATCAGCAAAAATTATTGTTACAGGTACTGTTTTTGGGAAAATATTTCACATGTTGAAAAACAAAATACTATTTACTCATTAAAAATTGTTTTTATAGAAATAAAGGGTCCGCAATTGAATGCGGATCAACATGTGAAACATTTTTCTCAGAGCAGTATTTCCTGTAAAAAATAATGTTTGCTGATGATGAAGCTTTGAAGCTTCAAACCATGTCCCAATTCCAATTTTAAATAAAGTATAGTTTTGGTGGAGTTGACTGTACGATTTTCTTCCTGCCCTATCACGCATTGTTTTTGGTTGAAATCGCCAAAAAGTCAGATTTTGACAAGTGAAAAAAATTATCATTGTATCTGCTTGGATTTCTCAAGTTCGATTAACCAATCACCTGTCAATCCTCCATAATGTCTCTCATTCAGCCTCCAAGTTTTCCGAATCGGTATGCCTGTCTGGCCCAGCTCCGTCAATATCCCGTCCAGCGTTTCGTTTGCTCTTTTCAACACGGAAGTGAAAGCTAGATCGAATTCATAGTTGGCATCTTTCAACGCCTTTCCAGCTCTTTTTGCTTCATCCCTACCTGTAAATAAATGATAATAAAATCAGGGGTTTAGAGAAAGAGTATAAACTAATATTCAAATTCGTTTCGAGTATTATTAGACCAGTGCTGAAGCATTTGAAAACAGTAAAAAAATTAAAAAAATTATAGTAAGATGTAATTCATTGGAGAAGAGAGAAAATATAACAAAGATGGAAGTCAAATTGAATTAATGGCGAACTGAGGTCGGGAAGTGGTAGGGGGTGAGTTTTCAAGGGTGAAAAATGGTTTATCTCGATTTCCCACAAAACTACAAGCTCTATGAAAAAAAAAACAAATGGTAAAGTTATAGGCAACAAAAAGATCTCTAACTTTTCTCTCAACACTTTTCTCACATAACCTCAAAATTTATGAGAAAAATTCAAATAACCAAGTTTTTGTTTTTTTATTTTTTACAAAAAAAATTGTTTACGAAATTTGGTGAAAACTTACTTCTTTATGTCCCAAATACACTGTAATTTTTTTGATTTGAAATATACATATTTTCACCTCATTTTGACTTGATACCGAAAAAGCAACCTAATTTTCAATCGAAAAATCTTGCGTCAAAATATGTGCTTATTCGAAAAAGTCGATGGGCTTCTGGTTCGTTGAAATCTCTAATTTCTGCTGGTGTGAAAGAAAATATGGTAAATTTTCCCAGAAAATGCAAAGAAACGAGAAAGCAGCAGTCACATTTTTAAGATGAAATCTCCTTCATTATTTAGAACAACTAATTTCGCAAAGGAACAATTATGTATATTCTTTTTTCCGTCGTCCTCGTATTAACGACTAAGTTTAATGTATATGAAATCGTTCATTAATGACCCCTATTAATGAACGATTTGCCAATACTTCGGATGCAAGCGATGATGAAGAATTGATGATTGAGATACAGAAGTACTTCGTTACGAAACAGCGTTTACGGACGATTGAATATTACCTAAAAGAAAGCTATTCGGATGTGAAGGTATTAAACATATTCGATTGTTGATACAGTACTACTACTATACTAACTTCGTGAACGACACTTAAACGCTACGTCACTATTGTCGAATGATTCAATTGAACTTCATTGACAATGAACATTCATATTTAAGACTGTTCCTGTCTGGTTTCTGGCAGTGTTCACAGGGAAACCACAATAAGAGGTAGATGAATCCATTTCATGTGGACCAACGGAACCAATAATGTACTTTCAATAATTCAACTTTTTGATTGGCAAAACAATTATTCTGACATTTCTGATGACAAGAAGGTCGCACCAACTCTATTTTCATTCCACTGCTCTATGCTGGAACCCCATTTTATGGAAGAACCGAGCGAGTGCCCCTTGCTCTTGCTTTGTGCTAGTGGGCTCTGTAAATCGGCGAGTGGAAAACGCTATAAATACGTTTTCATGTTACAAACAGACCTGCTAAGTTTAACAAATCCGTTGAGAAGCTTTTGAGCTGTGAATAGAAATCATTTTTGTCATCACCTTGTATATCGAAAACCTCCAAAACACCCAAATTTATTTGAACTTTCTTATCATTTTTAACGAGTTCTATCGCCTAAAAAATGTGCCCGATTACCTTCTGAAACACCATATCAATGTTTATCAGATTTAAGTTTCTAACCTTAAGATTTCTTCCACTATCACCATTATCAAATTACCTCTATCACTGAGATCTGCATTGTACCATCCGCAAAATAAGTTCTGCTTGTTCCATTCTGATTCACCATGTCTTACCATCACGATTTTGTAAGTTTTACCTCCAGAAGCCAGACCTTTGCACTGGTCACTCACCTGAAATCACCCCGATTGTATTCGTTGTTGGAAGTGTACTTACTGTTGGTCATATTACTGGGCAAGCCATTTTAGAAATGGTTCGTAGAGCAAATTCGAATACTGAAAACAATTTTAACATTTCATCTTGCGATCTGGTTTTGTGCAGAGTTTCGATTCTGTTCCACAATGAAATTTTGATTGACAGAAATATTTCGGAACCTGCCAAACTCGCTGTCAAGATTGAGTCTACACAGTGTTGAAAATTAGTAACCAGCCGACTTTTCACACATTTCTTTCTTCTTGAATAAACGTTATTATTTTGTTATTTCCTGTACATTCTCTTGAAGTACTGGAAAAATGTATTATTTTTTTATCTCTTGGAGCGCACGAAAGGGAAAACCTATAATGCCCGAAGAACATACTGCGTACCTTTTTTTATGTTCTGGTTCCTACGAAAAGGGATATTTTGTAATGTTCAGAGAACATCGTGAGAACCAAGGGAAATAAGGTAGAAATTGATGTTCTTCTAAAAATTTCTGGAGGTTATATGCCTCGGGGAACACCTCCCTTGAAAATGTGTTCCAGAGCCTCGCTGTTCGTTGGATGAACGAGTCTTTGCTCTTTCCAAAGACTGTTCTGCAGGTCCCCAAGGTGACAACGAAGGGGTGCGAAGCCCCAACTCGACGGGTTAATCTCGCGGGGACTGCCAAGGAAGGAACAATTATTGATATTTCAAGAAGAGCATCGTCCATGAAAATATCTATAAAATAGAGCCAGGGAGGATAGGGAGAGGAGGTGGGTGTTGAAAATTTGGAGAAGGAAAAAATGTCCCTGTGAGGCTTTTTCGTACGTTTTTTAAAAATTTAAAAATGAAAAAGTTGTACCCAAGCGACATTGGCCGACAATTATACCTACAACATGTGGGTTATCATTTGTCATTATTCCGTCCAATGGCTGAACTGTAGGCAAATCTACAATGGGCTAGTGGACTAATATTTTTAATTCTTTATTTTCTATCTTCACACTAATGCTTACAATAATTCTATTATTTTTCAAAAAATGATCTCATTGGTTCGTTTTAAGGTCACAAAATGATAAATGAGTTCACAGTCTCTTTCAAACGGTCGAAACTTGCGACTCATAACTAATGACTTCACGACTTGGTGAGTAGAACATATAGTCAAAGTACATCTGAAAATACCGGAAATGTTGTGGTAAAAATTCATAAACCATGATTTATTGCTCTCTTAAATGGTGAAAAGTCCCTAACTACTTTATTTATAACTGGATAATATTTCCTTCATACAGATATTAGATGTGCATGAGTATATAAGACATAAGCGTTATTTATACACACCCAAGGAGATGCATTGTGAAACGTGGCTACATCGCTTTACATATTGTATATCTAAAAATAAATGCAAAAAGCTCAAAGTCATTTCCACACAGTGTTCATAAACTGAACAACAATGGTAGATTTCGGGAGAAAAACAACTACTTCCCTGGCTAATGCCACGCAGGATATTGAATTACATCCTCCCGAAATCTATGCATCGACTCGTATAAACGAATACTGATACAAGTGATTCTTTCCTGAATGCCTATTGATTTCGATTAAGCAGGCCGCTAGACAACCACAGACCGGTTTCGAGCTCTTTGACTCTCATCAGTGCAGTGTGGCTAGGCTTCGCTGAGTCGGCGGTCTTAGGACTGCTGGCTGGAGACTACACTGCACTGATGAGAGTCAAAGAGCTCGAAACCGGTCTGTGGTTGTCTAGCGGCCTGCTTAATCGAAATCAATAGGCATTCAGGAAAGAATCACTTGTATCAGTATTCGTTTATACGAGTCGATGCATAGATTTCGGGAGGATGTAATTCAATATCCTGCGTGGCATTAGCCAGGGAAGTAGTTGTTTTTCTCCCGAAATCTACCATTGTTGTTCAGTTTATGAACACTGTGTGGAAATGACTTTGAGCTTTTTGCATTTATTTAACATTTCATTCCACTTTGAGCATTGTGGCTATTTCGTAATTGTATATCTAGTTACACAGTTGCCGAGTCAGAATCAGAAGAGTTGAACTGAAAATAAATATCGTTATTTGTGTTTCTAGACTCAATGGCAAAACCAACAGCTTCAAAACACGTGGTTCCAAGCGCCTCAACAAGTGCAGTACCAGCCGGCTCCTAATCAAGAGCCTCAGCCTGTTCCACAGCAACAGAACCACTGGCAACAGCCGCCACAACAGCATTCATATGATGGTCAGATGTATTACCAACAGCAACAGCAACACTCTTATTATCAGCAACCACCTCAAAATCAACCTCAACAACAGGTTTATCAAAATAATACGGGGTAGGTGTTTTTCAATCAGAATTCTGATGGCTGCATGAATATCCCTTTCCGTTTGAAAGATGTCCTAATGCGCATGTGCTTGATTGTAGAACCACATTCTGATCGGATATTCATAAGTTAAATGGTCATTCGACGTCACAACCTGAGATTGGTCTATTTTTCTATTCAATCAACAATCAAGTGTCAATTTATTAAAAATCGTAAAACGATATCATGTATCATTCAGTGAAAATAATTTTGCCATGTCATATATGTGGTGAAGACTGGTGCTAAAAAAATGTTTGAACCTTTCATAGGTGAATTGTGCTTTGAAATAAAATTCATTAAGGATCAAATGCATCAAATGGAAGTCTACTTTGCAGTAAAGTATTTTTGATATCCTGGTAGGTTATTGCCAAACGTTTTTTGTAATTCTGCATAAGCTAACCATTTATTCGCTTTAAATCACTGTGATGGACTTGAAGTTGTTCTAATTTTATTCAGTCTATGGATACTTTGAGATTTGTCTTCTTTATTTGAAATTAGAGAAAACAAATTTGATCAAAAAATGTAGGTTCCAAACTCATTGAAGCAAACAAGTAGTCAATAGAGGAGGTTACTGAATATCTTTTTTTTAAGGTATGAGCAACAGGCCTACGGAAATTTGCAGTACAACCAACTAGGTAATCAGAATGAGGCTTATGGAAATTATGGTCAGACTGCTCCAAGTACAGAGCAACCAGGTGATGCTTGGGACTGGGGATGGGGAGATGAAGATAATTCGAATCTGCATGCTCAACAGAGCACCAATATTGGCCGGGATAGTGAAAAATTAGGTAAAGGATAATGCACGATTTATAAGGGAAACTGGCCCCTGCCAAATTTACTAACTTTTTGATATGTTCCACTAGTAATTTCCTAGTTATTCCTGGAATTTTTTTTCTATTTATCATCTCTGTATCTCTAAAATTAACCACTTGAGGACCTTATCAACCCATCTGATTATGCATCAAATCAAGAGAGCTATCACCTGTGAATAGTCTTGTGTAGTCGCGAACTAGTTGGAAAGAGTGCTCCCCGAGGTGAACTACGCCAAATAGTTCGCTGTCAATCTTGGTTTGAGTTCATTAGTTCACTGCAAGGTTTTAACGTTGACCGATCTATGTGAGCGATCGATCACCTCTCTGCCACTGCCGAGCGAGCGAGAGGACCGAGGCGGAGTCGCTCAGATCTGATCAAATGATCATGCGATTGGGATCGTGTCATGTGTCCCGCTCAGAGCTCACCGCACGCAGCCCGCTCCATTCCCGCTCTACCGTCTGTCTGTCAGTGTTCTCGTTCGTAGATCGTAGTAGAGTTAGAGTCGTTCTGCGATCAGGAAACCAACTAGGAGGTGCTAATATTATCTATGTTGTGTATTTATTTCACTCTATTCCTATTTTAATTTTGAAGATATTGAAATTTTGAGTTGTCATGAACCAAACTGTTAGGAACATCAGCCTACAAGTTAGTCATCATTCAATATTTAGTTGATGTTTTATTTTCTCTTCTTCCTTATTCCTAACACCATAATACCGAATATCATATAGCAAACCCAAACTGTGTGTACCTAAGTAGACTTGTAGAGTGAATAATTATAGGCACAATAAGAAAGTATAATATGTGATTTGTATTAGTTTTACCTGGAATGTTTTGCTGATGTATTTACCAATTTTCCCCATTCGGTCACTTCACTTTCCATGTTCTAAGTTCATTTTCATTTGATGGAAAGCTGACAAATTCAAATGTGCCATCCAACTGATTGATACAGCCTAACGAGCAGCACATTTCACCATCCTTCCAAAACAGAATTGAATAATGGCGTATTATGATCAAGTATGAAAAATTTTGTTAGATCTCTCTTAACGCCTATGAATGTGACACGACAGCAATGTCATGTCAGGGACGCCAATACACGAAACCAAACTCACTAGATGATCAAAAGAGAAAGGAGCTGTCCAAACCCTGTTAGATGACAAATAAGTCAGTTTGCATCAAGGACCCTAAGAAGATCAAGTGACTCTTCAAGAAAAAGGTTGTCATGATGAATTTTGTACTTTTGTTTCAATAAAGAAGTCATTCAGTTTCTGAATACAATTATTTCAAGATATTATTCTAAATAATATACAGTAATCAGGATATTACACACAGTTATTCCTGAAAAACATTTTTTCATTTTATTTTTCATCTTTCACTACCCTATATCTTTGAAATCAACCACGTGAGGACATGTTCCTATCTGACTCTTCATCAAATATAGAGAGAAATCACCTGTGAAGCGTTGTCGTTCGAATTTCGCAATATCCTGTATACATGACGAACTCTATTCATTCAATGGTACTTGTAGCTCCTTAATGAACATCTCATGCGGTGTACCGCAAGGGTCAGTCTTGGGACCAGTTTTATTTTTAATCTACATAAATTCAATATCAAACTTGGAATTGAGAGGAAAACTTAAATTATTTGCTGATGACACGACATTGATTTATTTCTCAAAAGATTCAAATAATATTATCATGGACATGAAAAGTCATTTAAAGAAAATATCCTCTTGGTTACAAGTTCATGAACCATCTCTCAATTATAACAAATCTTCATATATGTACATAGCAAAAAGAACACTGAACATTTCGAATAGAACACTATCCTTCAACAATAAACTCATCAAATATACAGATGTTACAAAATTTTTAGGTCTTTATATTGATGTACGACTTTTGTGAAGTAAACATATAGATCATTCGAGAAACAAACTTAATCCCATTACAGGCATTTTATTCAAAATACGTAATTTCATTTCTACTAGATACTGGAAGAGTATTTATTTCTCTCTTATTTACTCAAAATTTCAATACCTAATATCTATATGGGGAAGTACCAATATTTCACGTATGAGTCCACTAATGATATTACAAAATGAAACATTGAAGTGTATTTTCAATTCAAATTTTCTCGAACCAACCACGAATTTATACAAACCTAGAGGTTTATTAGATCTGACATCACTATACAAACTTAAAATATGTTGTTTCATTCAATTTGTGTATAAATTGAAAATTTCGAATTCAAATTTCAGTGAAATCAATTCATTACAAAATCATGGAACAAGACAATCAAATTTACTAATAGCAAATACGTATAAGTCAAATATCGGCAAGCAATCCATTTTTTCACACAGGAATCGTTCTATACAACTCATTACCAAGTCAATTGAGGAATATGTAGGAAGCAACTAGATTCAAAATTAATTTGAAAAAATATCTGCTTCAGAGACTTTGATAATTCCATTTCTTATTTGAATACCTACCTATAAAAGACAAGGTTGATATTGCATGATTATTTGCATTTTTTTTTACTTGTTATATCTTATCATTATTTCATAATTGTATGTATAACATTGTGTGTATTGTTTATGTATACCTATTATAATCAACTATGTTTCTTTGGGGTAATGAAGACAATCAATCAATCAATTCACTAGGTAACGCTCCTGTGAAAGACGACTCGTGGAACTGGCCCGCGGAGGACACCAAACCGTTCGCCGGCGCCGCATCGGGCGTCTCTGAGCCGCCCGATCCCGGCAGGGCGGCTGCGACAGTGAGCCAGCCAATCAAGGTCGAGAGCGTGTCGCCCGTGGCGGAAAGCCTCAGGCCGCAGAGGCGGGGCAAGCTCGAAACGCCGCAGTGGTCGACGGAGTCGCAGGTGTCGCAGGAGTCCTCCGACGACGTGCTGCATACGTCGGAGAGCGACAAGAGTCGCATGGTGTCGCGGAGCTCCACCATTAGTCATTCGCCCGTTTCAGGTAAGGGGCGGATATCCTTTGGTCCCAGTATTATTAATTAATGGATACAAGTGTGATTTTCGTTTTTTTTTTGGGCGGTTATTTTTTGGATCCTATAATATTATTGGTCTTTTCAGATAACTTGATGACTGGGGCAATAATTCAAAAAAAAAAATATCGGAAAATTTGAGGGACGAGTTGAATTTGGGAAGATTTTTTGTTACCGATTTTAGAAAAAGACTCATTTCACGAGTCATAGCAATTCTACATACTCCCATTGTGTCAATTTTTAATGAATTTTGAAGCAATTCGCTCACGGTCGGAAATTTTCTGTAAAGCTGGCTCGCATGCTTTATTTGTTGCGTATTGTCAATAGACGCTAGTATCTAGTGTCACTGAACTATTCCCCAAAAATGTTATTGTTAATGCTTTATTCAGTCCAGTAATAATTACCATTATTATTGATTCACTCATCACACATATAAGAATAAGAAGTTAATTAACGCAGGTGAGTCTTTACACTTTATTTATTGTCTTGTTTCGACAGTTCATGGTAAATTATCAAGGACCATGCAGTGTTATCAGTATAATACCAAATGATTGGCTAGAGTAACGGATTGCTATTGGTTGAAAACATCACATTTTGACATGTTATTCATTATTTGTTTTGGTAATAAATTTTGTTGTCCTGTTTGATTTTTACGCATCTGTGACCGTTATCGAGAAAAAAATTCAAATCATTATTTGTAGTTCCTTAGATTTTATTGAAATTTTCAACAAAAAAGTTCATGCAGCAAAAAATCTTGTTTTGACTTGAGAAATAAGCCCCTAGAATCTTGATATTGAATTTTGTAACATCTTGCACATATGTAAAAAAAATGTTCCGGTCAAAATTGTTCTCAAAACGAAAAAGATAATAATAAGAGACCTGGAGAACACATTTTCATTTTAGAATTCATCATTTGTATGAGCCTAAAAAATAGATACAGGGACATACCCATAGGAAAAAGCTAAAAAATCCTTCAGTAGTAAACTGCATTGAAGACATCCATGTTACATTGTTTCTAGAAAAAGTTCTTGAAAGCAAAAACACATTATTATCAATTTTTCCGATCAGTTTATATGATCATCATTTTTTCAATATAAACCGTTTTTCCTTATTCCCTCTCATGATGAAGTTTTGACTAAATTTACGCATTTTGTCCTTGCCTATGAAGTACAGAAAAATCTATTTTTTCTCCAAACGGCATGGAAATTGTCTTTTCTATGAAACCTAACAGGCAGCAGAGGTGTACTCTCTCTGCCTAGGCAGAAAAGATTGGTGCTATGCAATGTTCCAAGTAATTTGAATGAAATTGGTAATCAATATTGACACTGACATTGGGTGAACACAAAATGATGGAGTTTTCAATTGACTATTCCACTCTTGCTCTCGAGAAACAATCAGAATCGACCATTTTCACGGTTTCTTCTGTATTCTAGCGATATTTTTTGTTTATTAAATTTTATTGGACTTGCTCTACCAATACAGAAGCCGAATTGAACCACACGTGACCAACAAACCTCGCTTATCAGCGATAAAATGTTGACATCGTGTCTGGTCAAGATTGCTTTGGATTCAAATCTGAGACAATAACCTAAGTACCTACTTTATTTTATTTACTTATAATTCGCGTTAGTGAGACATTTTGTAGGAAAGGCGAGACAACTTTATTCCGGCTGGACGTTTCATGTGTAATTTTAAAAGTTTGCATATTTGTTGACGGTCTGACACAACAATACTAGAATTCAAATTCCTTTTTAAAGTAATCTTCAGTCATTCAAGTTATTGTGACTAATATAATTACCAATGATAGAATTGTTGCGCGAAGATACGAAGGTCGATTGTTCGAGCCCCTCGGCGACGATATATTTTTTTATTATTATTTCATGTCACATAAATTCAATTTATTTTGTTTGAATTGGATAGCAATTATTGTATACACTCTCTTGAGAGCAACCATCTCCAAGATAATAAAAAAAATACTGTATCAGAATTGTACATTCCACTTTGTGAATAACTATAAATAATTTCTAAAAACTTGAATTCTGTATTTCGTTATTATCATTATGTTCTTCTTCGCAGTTTGAGTTGGAATATACTCAAATTATGTTTCCTATTTCTTATATATATTGTCTCATTCAATCATGAAATAGTCATACGAATACAACTCGTGATACTATTTTTCCTGGAAATATTCGTCGACTGACATACTCCAGCTTGCTCCTCTTATTTCGCTCATGACATTGATCCAAAACTATGTCATTCACGAAATGACTAGGCAACATGCTGTCGTAACAATCACCGAATATTTCCGGCAAAATATTATCACTTGTGGTATATTACATATGAAAATTTACACAAAATTGGTTTCATAACATTTGAAAAACAAAATTATATGGTTCACACGGCGAAAATTTCAGGTCAATCTACTACTTTGCTGCCTAGTAAAACGAATAACTATTTTTGGTAGTTGTTAAAAAACTTGATCGATTTTCAGGACATGATACAGTTTCTATGCAAAACGCTGAAGAGATGCCCGTCAAAAAAGAACCGTACGAAAACAAGGAAATCGTTACAAATGTCACGCAAGAAGCGTCTCTCCCCACCCCTCCGCCCCCCCAAAACCTACAGACGCCACCCTTGATGCCGCCTGGATCTTCTGCAGACGATTCGAAGAATCCGTATAAGCGTACGACTGGCTTGTCTCACAAAAGTGCCAACCAGTCCAGAACTGCCAACGTCACACCGCCTGACAGCCGGCAGCCTTACCAACCTAGTATTTTTCATGGTCAACAGGTATTATTATTCATGGGTGATAATCTGTTGCTGAATTTGAATTTGAGTATCATTTTGCATGTTGGGAATAATAGTGTGGTAATTCAACATTCTTAGTTTTGAGAAAATCGAATGAAAATGTTCAGTTCTTAAATGGGCTTGATTTTCCCTCTGGTGTATCTCATTCACCGCTAATAGTAAATTCCCTGTTAGTACAAAGAATATATTAAATTGTCATAAGCTTACATTTCTCTAGCCTATATATTTTTATTAAAATTTTCAAGAGAAAGTTTCAATTTGTTAGTTCTGTGGTTGTTACAGTTTTGATTTATCATATTCGACACTTTTTTGAAATGTAACATCTCAAAAAATCGCCATATAATATGTTTTAAGTATTTTTTTATTTGTAGACGTCATTAACATTCATGATAAGTTTCATTGAAGAAGGGCTATGTGCCCTGAGTTTCTGTCATTTTAGCAGAATCAAAATCGTGCTCTTCGGTTGCTGAACATTTCTCTTTTGACAGTTTTTATATTTTCTTCACTTTCTGAATAGAATCAAACGAGTATTTCCATAAGACAAGTTTTGAGCTGAATAGCAATAAGTTTTTTCGAAAATTCTCATAAAGTTGAAATTACATAGTTTTGGGAAGAGAGGTAACTAGTCACATTTTCTGAATGAAGAAAGTACCTAATCAATGGAATTGAAAAATGACGCGGGTGAGGTGAATAACACATTTCTCCAAATGTTTAATCCAAAAGAATCATGCAACATTTTTCAAAATAGTTGGAATTAAAACATGAGTAGCTACTAAGTTGAAGTATAATATTTCGTGCAAAGATAAATATACAAATCAAATACATTCAAAAGTTTCATTCATTCTTCTTCTGATTTCTCCCAGTTATTTTTCAGGACCCTCTTCTCCTTGTTGCTTTCGATTTTTCTGCATGCTGATTTCGAAGGACTTGTTTTGCCTACTCCGTTTCATTAACTGCAATGCATCCAACAATGTGACAAATCGAAATATCCCGTATTGTTGTGACAACTCCATAATTCTTCGAGTTTAATTCATTATTTTATTTACTGATGATAATATTGTTGTTCCAAATCATCCTTATTCAGTTATTGTAGTAGTGTTCCGTACAGACCTTCTAGAGACGTTGGAAAACATTGTTATCTGTCGATTTGTAGGTTAACTTGGAAGCTCCGCCAGACAACTCGGAGCAACCCGACCCCGTACCTTCGTCTTCGCAGGCTTTCTCCAGAGTGAAACCTGTCACGAATCTTCCCGACAACAACGAGGCTCCCATCAATGACAGAAACCAGTACTTGGAGACGGGTCACCTTTCTGAGGGCAACCTACCGGATTTCAACCGAGAAGCTGAGGTAAACAGAAATTGGACTTCTTGGTACTTTCCAATTGTCTCTTGAGTGGAAAAAACTGTATTCTCAATAGGCTTCAATCTATTGCTGATGATAGCTTCTGTTTTTTCCTCCGCACTTTTTGTTACATAATTCTTGTAAGAGACACTTTCTTATTATTCAGTTAAAACAATACCGACTGCGTCATGTTTGATAACTAAGTTAATACGCTTGGTTATTTACATTAACAAGATGATCCAACATGTGAAATGTTGACACAAAATTCGGTAGTTCTTGTCTAGTTCGTAGGCAGTGCTAGCAAAACTCAGCAAAATATGGCCGATTGGTCTATATTCTCGAAAACTGCAAGTTGCTGAACTATCTGGTAATATCCTTCTTTATGAAGCAGGAAAATCACTGACTTTGATATTCTGACTTAAATAATGAACATATTTTAATACGGCTCTGATGCTATATATTGTAAAAGTGGTGATGCTCAAAATCCAGTAAATTATAGGCCAATAGCATTATTAAGTATTTTCTCCAAAATTCTAGAAAAAATTCCCAAAAAAAGGATTGTAGATTTTATCAATAAAAAATATGGATTCGATTTGAACCAATTCGGATTTCAAGAAAACAGTGGTACACAATCTGCAGTGCTACAAGTAATCAATTTCATTCAGGACAGACTTGACAAAGGAAATTATGTAGTAGCGATTTTCATGGATCTAAAAAAGGCTTTTGATACAGTTGACCACAATATACTTCTGAAAAACTATATTTAAACAAAGGGGTTCCTCAAGGATCAGTGTTGGGTCCAATTCTTTATCTATTATACATTCAAAATATTGAAAGAATGAATTTGATAGGAAACTATACCATATATGCAGACTATACAGTGCTTCTATATGAGAATAAAAACCCAGTAGTTCTAGAACATATCATAAATGAGGACTTGAAAAAAATTGAGAAATGGCTTTATTCCAATCTTCTTTCTCTCAATTCTATTAAGACTCAATATATGATTTTTCGTCAAAGAAATAAACAAAATATTGATCTGAATATTAGAATAAAAAATGAACGTTTGAAACAAACTGCCCATACCAAATACCTTGGTATTTGGATTGATGAGAAATTAACATGGGGAAAGCATATTGACATCCTCATAGGAAAAGTATCTCCCATTATTGGTGCTTTGAGAAGATGTCCTAAACTTAGTACATATACATCAAATATCATTCTCTATTCACATATACTCAGTCGAATTAACTATCTCATTAATATTTGGGGATCTTGTTCCAAAAATAGTTTCAACAAAATTTCTGTTCTATATAAAAAGGCATTGAAAGTATTGTATCGTCTTCCATATGATACTCCAACAAATCAACTGTATAAAGAAACAAACACATTTTCTTTGGAAGAGCACTTTTTAATCAATACTCTAAAAATTTCCTATTATATCATCAACAAAAAGCTTAAATCAAATTTTATATTAATCAGGAATTCCGAAATTCATGATCATCACACTAGACAATATAACTTGTTTCATCTTGAAGCTGCAAATTCTAAACTTGGGCAAAAAAAGTTTACACATGAGGCGATTTCGAAATTCAATAAATTACCAGATGATATCAAAAACAGCCCAAATATTATGCAATTCGAAAATAAAGTTAAGAAATATATTTATATGCAAAGGAATGATCAAAGCTGAAAGACTATGAATTTCCTTTTTTCTTTTTCACTGTTTTTATTTTTCCCCTTCTTGTTCACTATAATATGACTGTATCTTAATGATATGTAAGTTTTGTTCACTATTTGTAATTTCAATTATACAACAGTCGATAATACTTCATGTATGATCTTATACCAGGAATTACTGTCTGATCATTCATGTCATTCCTACTAGAAAATTAATTATACTTTATATATTATATGTATGAAATGTATCAATGAAGAAGAGAATGTAATGCAATAACTGAAATAAATAAACAAATAAATAAAAATGAACTATATTATACACTTATAATATATTCTGCATTACGGATCTCTGCCTTTCCCTACTCAACAAAAAATAGTTCGAAAATGAATATTCTCAGATTGTATTATGTAGATGATTACATACAGACTGTATGTTACTGTGAATCGTCCCCAGTTGCAGAACGCTGTGAGCGACCAGCTACCCCCGCCCGGCCTGCGTAGGATGGTGCCCGGCCAGATGGAGCACGAGGGCTCGGGCAACGCGGGCAGCTTCGGGGACGAACCGCCGCCCGGCCTGAGTCGGATGGTGCTGGGGCAGACGGAGGCGGTGGAGGGCGCGCAGATGACCAACTCGTCCCAGGGGGCGGATATGACGTGAGTGAATAATAATGATAATAATAACGTTTATTTCGTAATACCTACACGATGACATACAAAACAACATAGCATATAATAGTATACAGAGTGGGCCTTTGAAAACGAAACAGAGGCTCTGTAGGTCGCCAAAACCGGATTATCAAAAAAAACCGAAACAGGTCAACTACATTTTCGAGGGGGACATCTTTCTAGAATATTTTCAGCCCTGCGGCGTTGCCGCTTCTAAAGAAAAGAAGCAACAACTTTGTTATTTCAAATGCAACACCTTGTATTTTATTGCATTTTTAGATTCTCCCCGAAGAGCTGATTTCATCAATGCATCACACTTACGGTCTAGCTGTAATGGTTTCAGGGATATAAAGTGTTCAAAATCGAGATTTTTCAACTTCAACATTTTTTTGTGTCGAAACTATTCATTATTGGTCAAAACGGCTCTCATGTCCCGATCTCAACTTGTGATTTACTATCTACTGACATTTATTTGAAACAAATACAGGGTGGTTCAAGATTCAGAATTCTGATCACCCTGTATCTGTTCCAATTAAATGTCAGTAGATAGTAAATCACAAGTTGATATAGGGACATGAGAGCCGTTTCGACCAATGATGAATAGTTTCGACACAAAAAAATGTCAAAGTTGAAAAATCTCGATTTTGAACACTTCATATCCCTGAAACCATTACAGCTAGACCCCAAGTGTGATGCATTGATGAAATCAGCTCTTCGGGGAGAATCTAAAAATGCAATGAAATACAAGGTGTTCCATTTGAAATAACAAAGTTGTTGCTTCTTTTCGTTAGCAGCGGCAACGCCGCAGGGCTGAAAATATTTTAGAAAGATGTCCCCCTCGAAAACGTAGTTGACGTGTTTCAGATTATTTTCATAATCCGGTTTTGGCGACCTACAGAGCCTCTGTTTCGTTTTCAAAGGCCCACTCTGTATAATGTAACAAGTGTTATAAACGTCCTTTTAGTAATGAGTATTTTCAGCACGTGCGGAGCAGAGCGGAGCGAGTGTTTAATAAACGAGTGTCTAGAAGAGTTTATAAACGCGTTACATACTATGTTTTTTCTACGAACTGCAACTGCATGCAACCAGCGAGACACGTATAAGTGATATTGGTTGTAGATGTGTCCAGTCCATTGCTTACTAACCTTTGTTTCACGTTTATTGTCATGCTGAGCGCAGCATAAATAAATTGTTCTCAAAGATGGATGATTCATTTTTACACTTCTTGGAGATATGCAAGTACCAGAACATTCTCTTCGATTTCACTTTCGTCTACATTTCGCATATATTTTTAATGAAGAATTCTGGTACAAACGAATATTGTTTGAATAATTCTGATACAAAATATGAAAATAACAGTTGACAGTTAATACAATTGACATGCCAGACATGTCTCGAATTCCTGAAGCTGTGTTTAATGAACTGCGTTGCCATGGTAATGTGTTCAAGAAATCGTGTTGCCATGATAACGTGTTAAATATTTGGAATAAATCACAGATCGACAATCTGTGATTAATCGATCATTTTGCGTGGTACATCTCCGTACGATAAATGCCATTTTAGTCATGTGAGTAGAAAAAGTATTATAACGCATGTTTCAGGCCGCAGTTCGACCCCTTGGGCCCCCCCGAGGGCCTCCGCCGCATGGTCCCCGGCGAGTCGAGCTCGCCCGAGTCTTCCGTGCGTGCGCAGCAGCCGGTGGCGCGCGAGGGCGAGTCCGAGCCGGAGCTGGAGCGACTGGGGCAGCACGCGCCGCAGGCGAGATCGGCCACCATCGGGGCGGACACGCCGCCCATGGGTAGGGCAACCGGTGGGCAGGCTGCGGGGCGGGGGCGGAGCGTCGGCGGGACGGAGAGCCAGGCGAGAGGTAGGGTCATGCGTAGAGGTGGCAAACTATCGATAGTATTGACTATCCATAGTTTCGATTTTCCTTCACCGTGTGTATGTGTGACATTGATATGTTCACATGAAATAGCGCTAAAAGACAGTAAAATCATTTTCACATGTGGTAGGTCATGAAAATTGGAGAAGAATATCAGTGATCGTGACTACAATATCAATACTTCTTCATAGCCATGAATACCACCATTCATTATTACAAAAGGTACAGAACAGCCAAAAATACAAATTTTTCGTTAAATAATCAAAGATACTATCACCGATAACAATTATTCAAGGTTTTTGTTTGGTGTTAGACTTGGTTTTCACATGATTTTTATTTCAGTTATATTTTTATGATGAAGTTTAGTTTACTTCATTTATTTAATATTTATTGATTCGTTCTTAATATTTTATGGGTTTGTTGATAAATTTACTTATCCTCAAATATCGAGTTTGATTTCAGAATTCATTCTAGAAACATGGAAATCAAAAAATATAAGATTTTTGAAGAAAGTTAATTTTAGTTGAACGTATCTTGATTATTTAACGAAATTTGTATCCTTGGGTTTTCTGTGCCCTTTCCTGCTTTTTGCATAATAATGTAGCATTGTAGCGTGTTATACATGGCTATGAAGAAGTATTGATATGTGTTGTGATGACGACTGATATTTTGTTTTCTTATTATCATGACCTACCACATTTTTAAATGTTTTTACTGTTTTTTTGGCGCTGTTTCATGTGATCATCTCATCATGGCTGTGAAGCTAGTTTTTAGCTCTATTCAATGGTTTAAAAAACAAATATGGCGTCCATGAGAAAAACAGAAGTTGGATGGAAAATCTCCGAAAAAAAATGGAGAATATTTCTGACAATCCCATCCATGATTATTTTACTGCTTACACTAAATCTCAAATTTTTTCCTGTAATATCAACCAAGAAAATAAATTAAAACAAAATCAGTGATTTTCAGTTTATTCAAAATATTCCAGGAACGGATAACATATTTTCAAAGTGCAAAACATCATATCAAAGAGGTCAACTACGCAACTTTTGTCCAATTCAATCAACTTTCTATCTCTTACCGTTTAGGAAATAATGTCGGGACATTTTGGGAAGGCGAAGTCTACCATAAAACGTTGGTGAGACGAAATGAATATGTTCATTTCATTTCAACTTTAACTGCTTGATGGTGATAAGAATGAGTGAGAGTTGTCCGACCAGCCCTAATTACACTGAGACTAAGGTCTTTGAGAATACACAATCTGATAACAATAGAAGAAGTAACACATCGAAAATGATGCAATTGTCAGGCCAATTTCGAGCCCCTCTCTGTTAATCTACCAGGTTTTGAAAAGAAGTACCTCTAATCAGCCATCCTTCTCTGGTATAATCAATTCCTCCATAACGTTAATCGTAGCTTAAGTAAGGAACGTACCTGGGAGTGTCTAAGGTATATTTCAAACAAGTGGAAATCGTTTGGACATATATGTTGTGTCTCACCAACGTTTTATGGCTGATTTCGCCTTCCTAAAATGTCCCGATTAGCATTGCTGTTCCTTCAAATCGTTGGGACCCATTATTCGCGAGATTCACGAAGTGGGCGACATCTTGGTTACATAATACGAACTTCAAACTGGGGGAAAACAAACTGTTGTCTATGGATAAAGTGCATAGACTACATTGCATTCAGCTTGCTGTAGCTGTAGTCAAACTTGTCAATGACATAAAGGTTGGCACTGTTGGTAGTGATGATGGTTGAGTTGGTTAATTTTTTCACATTATTACATTCTTATTAGTTTAGTGAACAGTGAACGGGTGAAGAATTGGAGATAGTTCAAACAATTCAAACTAATTATGACGAGCAAATCAATTGACATATAAAAGAACAGCTATAACATGTTTACAATAGCCAAATTGTCCTGCTTTGTATGAACAAATACAAATCCATTGTTCTACAGGAGTTCCTCTGGAAACCAACTTCAATTTCACTTCATGTGGGGAAGATTTCATCGCCGAAGTTTGTAGACAAAGTGCAAAAATGTGCCTTTTGTTGAAGTCTCCTGCCTCACACAAAATCACATGATTAACACGGAGAACTGGTTCTCCTTACACTACTGGTCGGCTTTTTCAGTCTAAATAGAGCAAGATATCTGCCAAAAGTACAACAGACATTATTAGCGTTTTCGATCGAATATTGACAATTAATGTCAAGAAATTTAAAAACTTATCACTCTTATTAGTACACAGTACACAAGCTGATGGCACTAATGGGATTGAGTGAAGATTGAGTTTGTTTCCCCCAGTTTTGACGTGGCTTTGACATGGAACGATGAAAACCGAGCGCCACCTGGTAACATTGATTCCCGCGAATAGACCTGCCAAAATTTCAAAACATAACCTCATTTCGAACCACTCTCTAAATACCATCCTTCAACAAGGGGGCACCACGGCTGCTTCGACCGACAAGCCCGCCAGAAAAGCGAAAGACACCGACAGCAGCAGCAGGAGGGACAGTATAGAGGGCGAGACGCAAGATCACGACCTGGCCAGCCTCACCAACTCGGTGCGCAATCTCACCGTCGGCGAGAACCTGACCGACGGTCAAACGTCGAATACCAGCCTGCCGGAGCCCGAGGCGAGGAGATTGGAGGTAACGGTGCTATCAAAGGTGGGAACAGACCAAGCAAACATTGTTGTGCAACAGTGGAACAACACTCGAGAAACACACAAGTTTGCCCAGTGTGTACGTGCTGCGCAACAGTTGCACAACGGTCGTGCAGCTGTTTCCGAACTGATGTTCGGTGTTCGCCCCCGAGGCGGTACTTCAAAGGAGATGTGGCCCAACAGTGCGCACACAGCGTCTGCAGTGCAGACGCATGCTCTTTGTCGCTCATGGTGCCTGACTGAACGAACACTGGACAAACACCAGAGAAAGCAGGCTGGACAAAGTTAGCCAACAGTTGCCTACCTGTTGTTCAACTGTTGCACAACAATGTTTGCTTGGTCTGTTCCCACCTTTAAAGCGTTTAAAGAAACAAGTGGACCACTCAAATTTTTGACATATTTCAATATTCCACGTATAGTATTGAATACCAACATTGTTCCTATTTCATATCAACGATCTATTGGGAGCAACCACTTGCCCTATCCACAGCTTTGCAGACGGTAGCACTCTTCATACTGCGTTTTCTTCTAGAATTCTTATTTCTACCCAGGAAACTATGAACTTGTGACGCAGGCAGGCCAACGATGTCAATAAATATCTTGCTGAAATAGCCTGAGGATCCAATAACCTAGTCGAATTCAACGCCACCAAAACGCAAGCCTGTTTTTCTATAGGGAGGCCGAACCCAATATGCCTGATATAAGAATGTCTGGTACCACCATTCTTACCAATTACCATCAGCAATACTCTCTCATTGGAAAATCATTGTCCATCATTTGCAAAAGTTCAAAAGTTGCTTCACAAAAACTCGGTTTCTTGTTCCTAGCGAAAATATACTTTACACCACAACAGCTTCTCATGATTCTAATAAGCACAGATACGGCCAGTTTTAGAGTACTGTTCTCATGTATAGGGTTCTGCACCCAAACATACTCTGATGCCTTTGAATTCCATCCAGAGATCATTCGCCTGGTGGGTGATGCCACACTCACCAACTCTTTGACCATATCAGAACACCGTAGAAAAGTCGGCGACCTTCCACATTTCTATAGATACTTCCTCGCGAAATGTTCCTCAGAAATCTCTGCTATAATTCCATCACTAGCAAAACCAGTCAGACGAACTCGACAGGCTCAGTCAGCACATCTCTTCTTCTTAACCTTGAAAAATGGTATTGATATCATCCAGTGACTCTAGTCAAAACTACCAAAACCACATCGAGATATTGACTCGAGGAATGTTTTTGGATGTATGACAAATTGGCATTCATGAAACAGGCCGAGGAAAGAAATTCTGAATAATTGAGAAAACCCAATCACGAATTTGCGATTAGAGGTCTATAAAAGAAAAGATGATTTCATCACATAGAGAATACGAAGGGTATAACATGAAGTTATTGCCATGTTGTAGCCATCTAGTGGCAAAGCTCTAAGGTAGGATACAGAGATCGCGACACACACTGTATGGCGCTGCCATCTATAGCCACACGTACAGACCCCTACGTCTATACGCTACAGAGTGGTACTACAAGTAAACCACTCTGCTGACAGATGGCACTACCTGACATACTTGAGTGGAATTTTTCCACCACCTATTCAACTGCTAGATCTCATAACTAAGAGATCCAGGATGAACAGAGTTGCCCCAATTGTCAGCAGGAGCGAGACAGTACCGTTTCGACCCACCAGGTCTCATCAGCCGCTCTCGGTCTGCTGACAACTGGGACAACTCTACGCTTCAGGTATATCACCCATGAGTGTCGCGATCTCTGTATCCTACCTTAGAGCTTTGCCACTAGATGGCTACAACATGACAATAACTTCATGTTATACCCTGCGTAACATACACATAACAATAAATAACAAACAAATAATAATTAATAAGATGAATAAAACGTATGCATATACATACATCAGAAGTGGAGGACATAACATAACTAATTTGTACAAGTCATAAAAACTAATCATAAATAATATGAATTTCTAATCAAATTAATATTTGTCAAATAATCCACAAATTCATATTTCGAATTGAAGCACCCATCGAGAAGAATTTTATTAAGATTTCTCTTGAATTTGATATCGCTCAACTGCTTGAGATCAGTAGGTAGGACATTATAAAGATCACTACTAACATATATTGGTGATTATTTATAGTTTGAGTGACGCGGTTTCTCGAGTCTTATATTAGAATTGTTCCTTGTATCGTATGGAGGTCTGAATGTTTGTTGAGTGTATTTTTGTTAATGTGAATATATGAAAGTACATTATATAAGTAGATACAGGGAACGGTGAGGATACCTTGTTGTTTGAATGTGTTTCTACAAGATGAATTAAATGATGATTGAATAACAATCTGACGATCCGTTTCTGTCCGATAAAGACCCGTTCAATCTCGGATGCCTGATCCCATACAACTATATTATATATGACACAGTCGAGTATACAAAGGCATAGTGAATATTCATCAGAGAATGGGTGTGCAGATTGTTTTTAAGAGATGAAATTGCCAAAAAACTTGAATTAAGTTTTCGACAAACCTGATCAATATGGTGTTTCCATGTCATATTTTCATCAATTATTGTTCCCAGGAGTTTTACAGGATAAGAAGCTTTTATTGTTGAATAAAATTCTTAGAATGGGTGGTGGCCGATGATTATTGTGGAGCTCGATGATCTCTGTCTTATCATAATTAGGTATCATGTTGTTAGATTGGCACCATATCGAGAATTCGGTCATCGTTATGTTGATTTTAATAAATATATTATCCGAGTTTGGATCTGATAGAACTATGAACGTATCATCGGCATACATGAGAACTCGACCTTGGGATATACATTTCGGCAGATCATTGACGTCAAGTAGGAAAATCATGGGCCCCAAGACACTACCCTGGGGAGTACTGAAGTTTATATCATATTCCTGTGATACTATGTCCTCGATCTTTATAAAGAAGGGTCGAGTTCGTAAATGAGATATTCGGGTCGATTCTGTTTGTAAATAGCAATATGGTTGTAGAGAAGAAATTGCTATCATAGCAAGATTCGAAAAAGTTGAATTCTAATCATCGATTTTTGGCAATATGATCTGTCAATTTCAATGACATCTCGACAGCTTTCTTGATACCTCGGCAACATCAATTTTGTGCTTGCTATCTTATATCAAGGTAGTGGATTCTTTGTTTTTGCACTACAAATTCTTCCAAGTGTATGAAACTATGACGTATCATCGGCATACATGAGAACTCGTCCTTGGGATATACATTTCGGCAGATCACTGACGTGAAGTAGGAAAATCAAGGGCCCCAAGACACTACCCTGGGGAGTACCGAAGTTTATATCATATTCCTGTGATACTACGTCCTCGATCTTTATGAAGAAGGCTTGAGGTTGTAAATAAGACATTATCTAGTTGTTAATTGGTGACTTTCGATTGTCAACTTCTGACCACTGTCTCTGTATCTAGCGGAGATCGAGCAGGCGGGAGAGCAGTGAGAGCGACAGCGAAAGGGAGGAAAAGCGGCCGCCCCGGGGCGGCAGAGACAAGCGGTCGGCGGAGCGGTCGAAGCGGGACAGAGAGAGGGGCGAGAAGGGCAGGGAGAGAGAGCGGTACACGCCCGAGAGTTATCACGACAAGAAATATGACAGGCGATACAAGGTGAGCTGAATTGCGAGGTTTTTTTTAGTGGAACGTGGGAGGTTGTCTTTGCACTAAGTGTATACAGGGGTGGGCATACAGGGATATTCAAGTTATTTTATTCGAAGCATTGTAATAATAATAATTAACATTTATTGATCCAATGAGATATACACATGTTTATGGAGGGAGACAAGAAAAAATATATAGGTAAATAAACCAATCGAAATAATCGAATATCCAATAAACTGGAAGATAAACAGTTGAATCGGAATCAATCAACATTTATAAAAGAGATTCAAATTGATAAAATATATTTCTCTAGTTCACTCTCGAGTTTTGTGACGAGGTGGATAAATTTAATGGGCGTGTACACCTTGGTAGAACTTTTAACTCAAACCATGTTTATAATGATCCTTTCATACATAAATAATGATTGACGACATAATTCGATCGAGAAATTTACTGGAATGTTCAATTTTTGGACATAAATAATAGTACCATCTGAAAACGGACCCTCTTATGACGTAGAAACCTCATCTCGCCATAGTTAAAAGAAAATACCAAACGCCGGACGGAGACTGAGGCAACTGATATATTAATTCATTCAACTGTGATCTCGCGCTAATTCACTCTGTCAGATATCATGTATCATTCATCTCTGTCTGGAATAGTCCTGTTTCAGTATTAGGGTTTTGACGTCACATCATCGCCTCGTTTTCAGAGGTCCGAAAAATCGGGGATTTCAATAATTTTTTATAAAACGTAGGGAGCTCACAGCGATAAACGGTTTGCGGTGGTGAGCTAGTTTGGGTGAGTTCTATCGAATTATGGAATAAAATTTTTTTGTGATATAAGCCCATTCTGTTAGGTAGACTGTTGATATTTATACTACGAAAATAATAATATGATGATTTTTTCCCATAAATACCCATTATTTTGACAGTTTTTTTCCGGATGAATATAGACCTATTAGCGCTACATTTTAAAATATGCTCATGTTGTACAGGGTGTGCCAAAACACGAAATGTATCAAAGTTTTTATTTTTTAAATGGCATGCCCTGTATTGTATTGTATTTTCGGATTCTCTTATTTCATCAATTCATCACAATTGGGGTCTAGTGGGAATGATTACAGAGATATAGGGTGTTAAAAAAAATTGAAAAATATACAATGCAATTTGAAAAATAAAGTTCATTAGAGTTGAAATTGGAAAAAAAAGTAAGTGTCGCCTTGTAGTATCTGATAAATCATTTGATTTCCTTTTTTGTTTTTCAAAATCGAATAGTTAATAGCGGCGCTATGGCTCAAGGTGTTTTTTGTCAGTCATCCTGCATATCTGAATATATCCTTCTTACTTGCTAGTATTGAACAGAGATAAATGTACTTTGACTGATGATGACCATTTGAATGGTCGAAACATGTCTCAAAAGTAAAAAGCACATTTGGCTGCACACATCGCCATTAAATTCGTGGAGACGACTCTTGAGTTTTTCTTTTTAATCATCCTCCTCCACTTCGAACATGGACTACTTCAGAAAATAATCAATATTTGTTTCTTGAAGAACTCGCGCTACGAAGAAGACACCGACTTCTTCAGCGACAAGGACAAAGACAGACGATCGCGCGACGACAAAACCAGAGACTACGAGCGCAAGTACAGCAGCCTGCGCAAAGAGAAAGACAGAGACAGGCGCAGGAGGGACCCGAGGGAGCCCAGAGACCCGAGGGACCCCAGGGACCCTAGAGACCCGAGGGACTATCGCAGGGACGAGTACTACTACCGCGGCAGGTACGAGGACGGGTACGACAATGAGGGCAGGTCGAGGCCGTCGAGTCGATCCGATCCGTTGCAGGACCCTTATAGGGATAGGGTGATGGAGAAGGTTCAGAGGGACAGGAGACCGAGGGACAGGGATAGGGAGAGGTACAATAGGAGGCCGGGGGATTCCAGGAACATGTATAACCCATACCAGGTATGTGCATTTGTAAGGGGAAATATCCGGTGACCAAATGATCTTGTGTCAAAATATCCCGCGTCAAGATATTCCATATCAAAATATTACGAAAATAATGTCTTGTCATTAGTGACACTCAGAGAATATCCTGAATGATCAATTCAATCAATATTGATTGATTGTTTTTATTACCCCAAGAAACATAATAGGAATATAGGTTTATAATAGGAATGGATACATGAACACATATGAAAAAAAAATTAAAAGGTTAACTAATGAATTCCACCCAGTGAAACCAAATTCATAATTTTTTTTTAAGATGAAAGTTATAAAATTTGAATTCTGAGTTATAAAATCATGCCAAATATTATTCAATCAAATTGTCCTGACCAGGTACTGTTTAAGATTGACTTTAAATCTGCCCACATCATGTATATTTTTGAATCCATTCGGTAATGAATTATATAAAATTATTCCATTATAAAATATAGAATGCAATGTTCGACTCGAATATATTTGCTAATAATATAATCTGACATGATATCTTAACCTATACGTAACCCTAGCCTAGAAGATCATATCGATTGAAATCACCTTAGTTGCGTTCGGTATTTATATTGCTCTGGCGTACCCAGAAGTGCATCTTGGGGGGATTTAATTTTGTATTCATAACACATTCTTATTTATGATAATTTGTAACTACAATACTTTTGAGCATTACAGAATGAAATCTAAGCGACTTTGCTTTCGATTTTCAAACATTTATTTAAATGTTCCTGTCACATTTTGATTCCGGCTTTGATGGTGATTTTAGGAATATCAGGTAGAAATAGTAGTAGATATACACTGATACTGATACATAACTGGTACTGCACCATGTAAAAAAATTTACGTCACTGGCTCAGTCTGTGTATCGTACATCTTTATTCACGAAATTTTCGAAAGTATGGCATTCAAAATTCATTTGGCAACCAACTAGCCTAATCTAGACATATGCCAAGATTTTTCTATAATCTAGTGAGATTCACTTTACTAAAGTTTACTGACAGAGATTATCGTTGGGAGATACAGAGATACAAGCAAATCTTTATCTGCCGAGATAAAAAGGCGAATACCAAATCTTTGAAATCTCTCAACTGCCTAACAAAGCTTTTGGACCCTTGCAAGCTAGATGTTCACAATTCAATGAGTTCCAGGTACCGACATAATTAACTAGACTGCTACTGCCATAAAATCAACGATCATTCATTTACGAGATCGAACCTGGTTCTATTGAGCGTGCGCATTCAGAAACCGTCATATATCTCTTTCATTCTCACTTATCAATCACGAAAAAGCCACTGGTCTGTAGGTCAAACGTTCCTGAACAATTTAACCACAATTCAGCATTCAGGAAGGAAACACTTGCGATCTTATTCATATATACGAATCTTTGCATAGATTTCGAGAGGATATAATTCAATGATTTGCGTGAAATATAGCCGGGAAAGTAGTTTTTTGCCTCTCTTTATCTACCAGTTTCGTTCATTTATGAATTTTTGTGGAAATTATTTTCAGCTTTGTATATTTATTATTACTTATGTTTCCGAACGCCAAGCACTGCCATACACCGCTAATGACATAGGAAAGATCACGAGATCGAACTGAAGAACATGATTCATGCGTATTTACAACCATTTACGTCATATATCTTAATCACTCTTACTTATGTTTCTGAACAACAAGAAACATGACTCGTATGTCATGAACGATAGTTGAGGAGTTTTCCTGCGGATAAGTATAGTCCACTCAAAACAATGGTCGCCATATTTTTTGTCATTATTGTTCATACTCGCTAGACTTGTAAAGTTAGCAACCAGAGGCATGCGGCCTCGTGATTCTCGCGAATTGGAACATTTTCAGGCTCGAATTTGTCAAAAAGTGTGAAAGAAATCGGACTGATGTAAAAATATAATAGGCTGTTTCTATTAAAAGGATCATTCAATATTTCATGTTGTGGTGGTAACTTATTCCAGTAGTATATGAGCTGAATAAAGGAAGCCCTATGCATTTTTATAGCTTTTTCAAGAAAAGAGTTCAGCGAGGTCGAATACATGCCTGGGTATACCCCTGAAGTTACAAAGTCGGTCGACCACAAAAATTATATTGACAATCATGTTTATGACTAGTTTTGGCTCAACGGCCATCTTCAGGCACACAAAAATACCTGTAAGGATTAGAAATTACAAACACACAATTAACTACTGAGTAAAAAACTTACCTAAGGAGTTATGTGGAGATAAGTTTAACTAAAAGCTAGGTCAAAACTGGAAATTTAGGCAGGTAATTAAGTATATTGTCCTTATAATCGACTAAATAGCCAAAAGAACTGATCAATAATGCAATAATGCAAGTGGTCGACCGACTTTGTGTTTTACTGTTTTTTTTTTCAAAATATTGGACCACTTTGAGAAGGATGAAAGGTTTCCATGACTAATCACATATTCCACTGAATTTCCAGAGTTTCTCCTATGACCCTTACAATCCGTACTACCAGCAGTACCAGTACTACGAAAACCTGCGTAGGACCAACCCGCAAGCCTACGCGGAATGGTACAGGAAGTACTACCAACAAGCCGCCGGCCAAAATAATCCTTACGGGGGCGAAGACAGGGCTTCTGTCCATTCCGGCAGAAGTTCTGCGAACGACGAGCTGGCCAAGGATAGGTAAGTGGGGATTTTTTTCGAGGTTAGGTGTGTGGTTTCGAGTGTGTTGTCGTGATTTTCCGTTTGGTTTGGCTTTGGTAGTAAATGTAATGCCTATTCTGTTCTTGATTTCCAGTTTTGTGGAAAAATACATGTTTCAACAAAAGTATTGGCCATTTGAAGATTGCCAAATGTTTGGCTGCCAAAGTAAGACAGTATCATGATGCCAAGAGCTTTTTTCGACAGCAAGTTTTTTGTGATTCTGTGCTATTCATTCATTTTTGTTCATAATACATGAACATCATGTGAACATCATGTGATCAGTTCCTATAGTTAAGTTCTGCAATACAAAGAAGATTGGTATGAAAGAAATAATAGTATGAGGTTGACTTACTTGGAGTTGAAAAAGTTTTAGCTTTCTTTCGTTCCTTTGACAATTCCCCTCCACTTTGAGCAATATGGACATCTACCAAAGATTCATAATGTGTAGGTAAAACTATGAGATTGATATTTTCACGGAAATTTTACATTTACTATTAATGCGAAAGTATGATTTCAGAATTTCATGAGAAAAAAATATAATTTTTACACATCACCAATCTTGAAATTATGTTTGCTGAACTTTGTTTGAGTTGAGTTGAGATTGAAGTTGAACCTTTTCATCTATAACTCATGAGGAACCAGTAGATCAATGATGAAACAATCCATCTCCATCAGAAAAGTGTTAATTTCGAAAAATTTCAGAGAAAAAAGTGTTCAGTGAATATCTTCTAGGTTTTATTTGATTCTATAGTTTATTTTTTTATTTGTTAATGCAAGAATATGTTCAAAATAGGTATAAACATAAGTGTTCTAACTAAATCTTGCTATAAACTTCACTGAGAATACCGAATTTCGAAAGGTCTTTAGGTTAAAAATGTGATCTGAAAGTCCGTAACCTCTTCTCAAGACAAAGTTTAGTAACATCCACCTTCACATACACCTCCACTCGATATTCTTTGTGTACTAACAAGTCTCTCACGTCTAATCACATCCCATATCGGACATACCCCATCTCAGCACCTTACGCACCACGAGACACAAGGCACCAGCATCCTTTCCAGTCATACAGATATGCTTTATTCGACTGTTTAGGTATACGAGGCAGAGTTTTTATAGCCAGGTGAGCGCGCCTCACATGGGGAGCTACTACGGAGACACGCACGCGCATAGCGTCTCGAGCCAGTACGGCCTCGACACTTCTAGGTGAGACACCCTGTTCGGTCTGTGCATTTATCATCGTCAAAGATCTGATAATATATAAAGATAAAGTACTAGAAATAGGTGTATGTTAGCCAGTCAAAAGCTGGTAGGTGCTCGTGTTCACCAATATATACCCTAATCTAGACCGCCAATTCCATAAGTAAAAAGGTGAGTCACTCAGGAGATCGAACTGGTGAAACTGGCACATGCGCATGTTGGAATCTGTCATGCTACACTCATGCATCCGAGGGACATAGGCGTATCGAAAGGAAAAAGCTGGAAAGGGTCTACTACGGAAGCTCGAGAAACCACAGATAAAGTAGTGAGAAACGAATGAAATATGCCGTATACAGGTAGCTTCTAATTACTCAGATTTGAGAACTAACAAAGATAGGTGTATGTTAGCCAGTCAAAAGCTGGTGGGGGCTCGTGTTCACCGATATACACCGTAATCTAGCCCGCCAATTACATATGTAAAAAGGTGAGTCACTCACTGAAACGATTAAATATGCCGTAAAAAACGGCGAATTTATGAAAGTAATCATTTAATATGAAAAGGAGGGCGTATATTATTTATTTATAGAGCAGACCTTTTATCCAAGATTCCTTGCAAATCTGGAGAACAAAAATTTCAAATGTCACAATGGATAAGTGTCACAAATATTGTGTAACTCATACTCAGGTATCTAGGGAGGATAGGAAGGTATGGTAGGTTTTTTGAGACTTCCAAGTTCTCGAAAATAGTTCATTTGGGCTTTGCTGTTCTATTATAATCTTTGATTTCTACATCTTCATCTTTTCTCCAAAAATTCAATTCTTCAATGATATAATTATAACAATTTATACTTATAATAAAATACGATATGGCAGAGTCAGAAATTGAGCTGTGACTTTAGCTCTAAACGTTTACTTCTATCTCATAGCTAAATTAGCAGATACTTTAGCTGTCTGTTACAGAAAACTCAGAGAATAATAAACGGTTTTAGTTGAGCATTAGTTCATAGGTAGTTAATTTGACTTGCCTAGCGATTGATGGGTCGGCGCTAAAACACAAAGCCACAGTGCAACTTGATACAGATTATCAATGAAGATTAGTTACTGCAAACAAATAAACAAACATCAACAGCTGATGTGACCTCTAACCTCACCAGTGCCATATGCTCATGTGCTAGATGGCAACTACTCGTGTCTCACTTTTATTTAGGTACTTATCACTACTTATTCCTCTAGGCGCAATCTAGTAGAGTATATAATTATATTATCAGATCTTTGATCGTGGCACGATTGGTCTAAGGAGTAATGTTGTACGATCGGTAAGGGGAGTAAGGTCTAATGTGCATTGGTGCAAGGGAATTCGATTTTTTGTTCTGATTCAGCTGCTGAACAAGTCCTCTGTTCCGTAACAGGTAACACAAACTTATAGATCTTGATTTAGAAAATTGTCATTGATTATTCATATCCGAAATATCACTTACTGGGAGTTCAGTGCTAGAAATTCTAAACTATTCACTATTGGGTCAGCGTATTATCGATTGTCCACCAATTTGACTATTTATCTTTCAGAAAAGCTTCTTTTGAAAAAAATTTTCGCTGACACCGTTAAACAAAGATTACATTCTAATATATATTTTTCACAAGTTTATCACAGCGGGATGAATCTATACATCAAAATTCGGAATAAAAAACTGAATTTCCTGACTGATAGTATATATCCATAAATGATTAATAATATACTAATGGTGAATTAGTGGATGAAAATATATCAATTCTATATAAATTCTAATAAAATATGTATTGTAGTATTATTATGTCTTGTATGATTAGATCTGTAGCAAAGTTGAGTATGAAGAATGCTAGATAATTGAAAAAAAGTTGGTATTATCTCGTTTTGTTCATTGTTCTGTGTTTACTTTCAATTTAGGAATGAATTGTACACAATACTAGTATTAATTCCTTATCTATTGAAACTGTCCCCAACATCTCTCATTCCTAATTCATTATTATTTACTGTTTTTGCCTTCATCCTATGTGAACTCTCACATTCCTTTTTACAATGGAATTATTCTCATTCATTTCAGTTTTGCATGTTAGTTGATCATTAGCTTTTGCTTGCTTTTTATCATAGCATGAGGGATGCGTTACTAAAACTGAAATTTCTTATACTATACCAAATATTATTTGTGCAACGTATTGTGGCCCTTGAATGTGTATTTCAAAATTGATATTTTTCGCTTCAATTATTAATTGTCATTTGGCTTATGATGTCTATGTTATTGAAACCTGTTATCTAGTACAAAATGTCTCGAACAATTCTCATCGTAAACAAAATATTTTAATAGGATCTTCATACTTCGCTATTCAATTCGATAATTTGTCGATTTCAAAGTTACATACTTGGTTGGATCCAACAGCCAACATCTTCCTGAACATAACAGTCGAATATCCATAATGACAATAATTAAATAGATACATACAATGCCAGAATGATTCGCATTATCCGAAAGCATCTGCTCTCGACCGAATCGAACTAAATCAATACTTCGGATACTACATAAAGATTAGCCATATTACCGCCATCTAGTGGCATAGTTCTAAGGTAGGGTCACGCCATACACAGTAGGACGCTGTCCTCTACAGTCAACACGCGGAGACCCCTACGTCTACACGTTACAGAGTTGTACTACAAGTAAACCACCCTGCTGACAAATTGCTGACTACTTGACTGGAATCATCCACCAGTCCTATTCTAGTAGAACTGACGGATCGATTTCAACGAGCCACCGATAACTTCCAGCTATTCCCGTCCCTTCGACCAGACGGACTCGACCTTGAACCTGGACGACACGAACCTCACCGCCCAGCGTTTGACGCCCGCCAAGTTCACGACCGCCCACGGCAAGGGCTCCATCACTTCGGGGAGGCTGGTGCGCGTGCTGCCGCACTACCCCGTCGACGGGCAGTCGGCTACCGTGGAGGTGGGTCTACTGGCACCGTTCCTCGTGGAGGACGACGAGTTCAGGTACGGACAATTTTGTTTTCCCCTAGGAAATTATGGAACGTGGGCATTCCGTGCATCAACAGTCGATGTTAACTCTTTCAGGCCCGGTGTCGTTCCAGATGAAAACCTAGTTAGTATTTCATTGTCATGCCAATGATCACATATGCGGCGATTGCCACCTCCACTCCACATTTTTCTGGAGAGAGAGACTAGATGGACAATTGCGCATATTAGGCTAACACGGAACGTAGCAGACTACCGCGGACACAGAAAGTTACACCAGTTACATATAACCTCCCTCACACCGTCCTAATCCCCGATAAAGATGAGGCTAGATGGACCTCCGACATAATGCCTCCACCAGTTACATATAACCTTCCTCACACCGTCCTAATCCCCGATAAAGATGACGGGTTCATCTGAAAGGAGGACTATTAAGAGCACATACCTGTTGGTTCACAGATGGTTCAAAATCACCCACAGGCTTTAGTGCGAGCTAATACGTGTGTGTGTGGAGAGATTGGAGAAAACCAACCTCACACATAAAACAATCGAAATATTCTCGGATAGCCAAGCGGCTCTGAAAGCACTTGGCAGAAATTGATCAACGTCTAGACTGGTATTGAACTCTCCGCGATTGAAAGACTCAATAAATTGTTTCTAGTCTGAATTTGTGGCCGCTCTGGTATGGTAGGTAACGAAACGGCAGATTCCCCGCAAGGTAGGGGGGTGCAAGTAGTTTCATTGGACCAGAACCTGCCATTGGCATCTTACCAAGTTTTGCCAAACAAGGCATCCTTCGATGAATATTACCAAACAAATGTTAGAATACATCAGGGAAAACCTATGCTCCCCAACAAGCATCCTTACAGGCCACTGTCGTCTGAATTATCACATGACAAGACCTGGGCTGTCATGAAGATGATGAAACAGTAGAGCATGTACTAACTATATGTGCCTGCCCCGCCGCAGGTTATCGCTGTTTGGCAGGATTTCACTCTCGCCCTCGGACCTGAAAGATCACTCACCAAGTGAAATAATCCCCACAAAGACCCTTACGAGTCGCAGTAGTGGGCTGAATAGATCCAGTCACTTCTAACCCTAACCTAACCTAGTAGACGAGAGGTATTAATATTGTCTGTTCATTGACCCATAAATTTGCCTGCCTGTCAATGGACAATTTCAGGTTGAAGTTTTGAAACCTCACCTCAGACAAATTAAATATTCTATTCGATTGTCTAATTTCAAGTTCGTTAGACGTTGGTGTTTCATTTTGCACTTTTACAAGAGGTGGAGGTATGTGAATTTTTCAACACCCCTTTCCCAACGATAACATGAATTTGAGGCAACATGCAATGACTTTCAACAACATAAATAGGCGAGTTTCCTCTTAGCCACATAGGTGTCATTTATTTTATAATAATGAATTGGTATTCCCGGAATGAAGATGATGTAGTAATTTATTATCAACAATATGAAAGTAAACAATCAGTTCCTACTCTTAGCTTGCATTCTATCATTGCGAGAAAGTGCCGACATCAATGTTTTATCACAGCACTGATGAGTTTCCAGTTCCTACTCAAATTCAAATATCAAAGATTCGAGAATTTTATCATTGCATAATCAATAGTTTCTTCTCTAAGCTTTCTGCGCTCCTTATTTATGTAAGTATTTGAACTGTTAGTACATGAGCAATTTTTGATTAAAAACTTGACAGAAAGAATGATCTTGACAAGAGTCTGAAATTTTTCTGGGGTTAGGATAACAATCGAATAACAGTTCGGAATAGAGGTCACTAGCTTACTGAAAATGTGGCCAATAAGGTCGATTTTTGCATATTTTTTTCCAATGAAGTGACAATATTATACCATACCGCGCCTACTAGGTTTTCATTTGGAACGACAACGGTAAGACGATTTGAAAAATAATGAAAGTGCTTTGACCAAAATCACCAAATCGACTGTCTATCTACAGGGATATGAGCCAGTTTCCTGGACCCCTTGTCAAGGGGGTGACTCATAAGAAGACGATCATAGAGTATTGCGAGAACAAAATCAGGGAGGCGGGAGCAAGTAAAAAGATTGTGGATGTGGAATCGTATGTGCTGATGTGGGAGCTTTTGATGTTGTTGATTAGGCAGAACGGGGTAAGTTCTCTAGTATATTCCAGATAAGAATAAAGTAGGTGGCATGAATGGCTGAGTCCCTTGTACTCTGGTAAAATATTTTAAAATAATTTCAGAGTTTAGTGATGAACCAATTATATATTTATGTAGCATTGAGAGTAAATTGACAAAATTAATGAAAAATGAATAACACAATAGGTCGCGTGCACGATGACCGACCCTGGAGGCAAAATATTGAAACACAACCTCACTCTTCTGTGAATTATTGAAACACAACCTTACTTTTTCATTTGTTTACAGAGAAATCAAAAGGTTGAAATAGTTTTTCACAATATTTTGGCATACGAATCGTGTTTCTTGCGTTATTCATTAATTCAAGCATGCCTTCGCATTGTGCTGTTATACAATGCACAAAAAATGCAGCAAGAGACTAGGGAATATGATTATTCAGGTAAATAGTCATCTCACATAGTTATCATTATGAAATGTTGTCATTCCTTATTAACATTCCTTCTGCCTTCTGCCACTTCTGAAATACTGCTAACAGATCGTCAGCATGCCAGACCAGTCCTCCCGATTGATTGCATGAATCCAATCTTCTTGCATTATTCTAGAAATTTCAGGTATATTTCTACACAGTAGACACTTCTATTAGCTCTTATTGCAGAAGGAATTCCGCGAGAAATCAGAGAAATAACCAAATTTCAAAAATGAAAACTATATGTGAGTGACTATAGTAGGTAGGTACTTACTTTTAAATCATAATGTACCATCCGGATTCCTTCATCTTCCGCTGCAGGTTTTGTGCATTTTACAACAGCACAATGTGTTGGCATGAGCGAATTGATGAATAGCGAAAAAATACGATTCGTATGCCAAAATAATGGTGAAAAACTATTTCGATCACTTGTAAACAAATAAAAAAAGTGACGTTGTGTTTCAATGTTTTGCCTCCAGCTTCGGTCATCTGACAGTTCTTGCACGCAACCCATAATAATATTAATGGTATTATTTGAGGTTATAGTTTCCTGTCGTTTGTCCTCGCTTCGCTCCTCGTACTCCAAAAAACGCGTACGGCAAAGTAGTGTCTTATAAAACTTGTAAATTAATTTACTATTTTTCTACAATTCGACCAGGAATGTAAATATCATTAACTTAATGCATCAGATAATATCGGTTAAGCTATTGGTTGCATCATATTGAGTTGACCGGCACAGTTAGAAAATTAAATTAACACGATCATGATATAAATATGTGGGAAAATTTGAGACAGACCATCAAAAAATCACTGACAAATTATTAATATGAATAATAATATTCAGTTATGAGGAGGAAAGAAGAACTCAAATCTTCGCCGCAACTTTAGAGCTAATTTTTTCGAGTTATTTCTTATATAAATTTCTACCAAAGATTGAGGTTTAATTATGATACGTTGGATATAAATCATTCGACAACAATATGGCCACTGTATTTGAAGTCCGTATTGATTCTCTGTGTCTATTATTAGATGGTCGTTGGTACGGACATAGCCGAGTTGCTGTTGAAAAATCGGCGAGAAGTTCCCCCACCCAGGCCTTCCTCGGTGCTGTCCAGCATCAGCAGCAACAATGGAGAAGTGAACCCTATCTCCGAATCGAGCGCCCATCCCATTTCCGAGAATACCGGCAGTCTTCTGTCGATCGTTAAAGAAGAGGAAGTCACCAACAAGTTCAGGTATACAGGGTGTAACATAAGTACGTTAAAATGTTCAAGTGACGTATTCCTGAGACAATTCAAAAAAATAAAGATCTATATAAACTTGTGTTCGGAGATACAGGGTGTGTTGAAATACAGAAAACAAACCATTTTTCGATAAACATTTCCTAGGAAAAAAGTAGTTTTTTCTGTGACGGGAAAAATTTTGGCATTTCATCTCTGTTGGCAGGTTATAAAATGTCACTTTTCATAAATCAGTTTTTTCCCGTGAGAAATAAGTGGGTACTTTTATCCTGGATATATATCACATATATATATATATACACTGTTTATGGCTTTTGTTATGCTATAGTTCCGAAAAATGAGTCAATAATACCGTCTCCGAGAAAGAACTGCAAGTCCTTTTATCTCCTATTCGACTTCGCGGTTACGTATATTATTAAACAACCACTAAATCGCAATTTTTTGAAATCAAATCACAGAATTAGACTGACAGAAGTGACATCAGATATTTGATTACTTCAAAAGGATGATGAAGATGCCTACAACGCAGGTGTCCCTACTGTTAAAAACTTGAAATTTCACGTCGATAATTTTCAGATTTCAAAATAATGTAATTCTTCTCAATATTGATTCGTCCTTTTTTCTGTCACAGAAATTGTATTATACAAGGCAAAAAAGTAGTAGATTTTAGCTCTAACTATTAATTCGACGAGACCTACCATACTCTTAGTTTTTGTAATGTTAACAGCAACTTTACTTAGCGATCTAGTAGCTAAGTAATATGTATTGATATAGAAAATTGTAAATATCAGCTCTCATGAAATACAGGGTGTTCCATTTGAAATATCAAAGTTGCTAGTACTTTCTGGTATGAGCTGGAACTATTTTAGATCGTTAGATCAAGAGCAACTACTTGAGTATCAAAATTTTCAGAATTATCCCATTCTCCGTGAAAGTCGAAGGTACCATCGACCGTGACCCACCCTGTATAATAACAATCTCACCCATAGTATACAGACTGTTCTGTCTAAAATGCACATTAGAAGTATTTGGAGTTCCGAAAATGACTTATTTGAAAATTCGTATACAAGGGTTATCGATTGGCGAAACGAAACTTCCGGTTTTACCGGCATTATTGCAAATTGAAAGTTATTTTTTATTGCTTTTCCAGATTCCTAATTTCAAGTTGATCTTTTTTGTACCTAAGTTATGTTTTCCCGTAGTTCATCTAATGACCTTGGCGACCGCGAATCAAGAAGAAGTCATCATATGATTGTTAGAACTCCAAATACTCTTTTTTATATATACTTTGGAGTGCACGAAAGGGAATCCCTATAATGTGCGGTTTAGCCGGAACTGCCTATATTTCAATAAAAACGAAGAGAACAAACAAAAAAGCATACAGCATATCTTCCGTTCCTCCAAAACATTATGCGTAGTGAAAACGAATAATTTTCGGGCTAATGTTTTGACTGATTTTTTCTTATTTTAACTACTTAGTATAATTCAGTGAAGACAAAGACAATAATTCACTGAACCACCCTCTTTTTTATCAAAAGATCACTCAGACATAGAAATATTCCGGCTTGATCCAAGATGTATATTGATTTTATCTAGTGCAAAAAAAAAATTCTGGTTAAATTTTTTTAGGGAGTTTTTGTTGTACGGATCGGGTAAGGAGGCCTTGGAATGGGCGATGAAACACGGCCTGTGGGGCCACGCTCTGTTCTTGGCTAGCAAACTTGATAAAAGGACGTACGCCAATGTCATGATGAGGTTCGCCAACGGATTGACTCTGAACGACCCCCTGCAGACGCTGTACCAGCTGTTGAGTGGAAAAATGCCTGCAGCAGTAACGGTAAGGGAAAATTTCTCAGATAAGAGAAGAGAAAAAGGCTCTAGTCATCTGTACAATATTCATTGACATGTGTAGAAGATACATTGAGGTTTCATAGAGTATTCATTTGTTATAAAGTGGTCAAAACCTACCTGAATATTTCGTTAGGTTTTGAAGTGGTGTTGGTTTAAATAAACGACATCATAGTGTTATAGATAGATACAATTCCTCGATAAAATGCTCGTTGCCTAACATTTGACTGAAGTAGTGTGTTGTGTGTTTTGTGGTTCTGTGAATGAAGGTCAGTTAGCCTCGTAGGAGACTGTCATGCGCATGGTGAATTAAATAAAAGGACATAGTCTCCTCGGAAAACATGTATTCTTGCAGTAAGCAATAAACTTTTGAAATAAAGCCATGTTTTATTGATGTTTGGTAGTTAAAAAAAATGTGAACTGGATTTGAACATTCTTGGGTGCTCAGACACACTGCTTCAGTTCATGCAGTATTAGGAAAAATATTCACGTATTGTGTCCTTTTTTTCCTTCAAAATTTCGGAATCATTTGGAAAATATTTTGATAATAATTTATTTTGAACGTCCAATTCGAAAGAAACTAAAAATTACCTAATCGGACGGCATTACATGACTCATTACCCGTCAATAGTTTAGATTGTCAACTTATAATCTGCCTAGTGCATTAATCACTTTCGGACATGTTTTCTAACTGTGAATTTAAAAATTTTTATTTCAATGAATTCGCAACTACTGAATCAAAATTTTAATGGGCGAGTGGACTGAAAATAATATTACATAAACCACATACTCACGCATCAGACCAGATATATACAGATATTTTAGTCTTATATATCAGGCAACTATACTGTAAGTCGGTTCTCCAGTTTGTTTCAGCAAGGAAAAAAATTATTGAACCATTAAACCACAGATATAATACTAGAAATGCAACAAATACCTATCAATCTAGAGCAAATAAATCTATTTGTCAGAAATGTGTCACCTATATTGCACCTCGTCTCCATAACCTATTGTCTGAAACTCAAAAATAAAATGCACAAGTTATCATTCAAGTTTAAATTGAAATCTTGTTTTTTCAATAGATTGTTGAATCATAGTCATGACTTCGAAATTCACTGATTATGGTCACCAGATTCTATCAACTTTAGACGAATAGCCCATATAATATGATTCATCATGACAAGAAAGCAAAAAAAAAATGTATGAAAAAAGAAGAAAAAATCCTCATTATATTTCCTACTTTTTCAACACAATTTACAATTATTCACAACTCTCCACTTTTTATGATTTTGATTCAGTTATTATCAATTATGATAGTAGTGAGCGTATTGGAATGGAAAGGATGAGTTACTCATTGACAAGTTCTCGAACTTAAATGAGCCACCCTAGTATTTACCTATGTCTCACTTATGTCGGATTGATTTAATTGATGTATTGTTTAGGTAAACAAATTATTATTATCATTATTATGATTACTTTTTTTTTCATTTCTTGAATAGAATCATCATACATCCAAAAATCACTCAAGTACCTTTCAATTTCAATTTTTTTTGCCACACATTCAAAAACAAAAAAAAGATAATTATTATAGCTTATTATGGAAATCTGACTATGCCACTGGATTCTGTGTGAAAAAATCTTCTAAGGCAGTTTTCACTTTCTCGATAAGTTGAAAGATAACTGAGATACAGGGAGGGTCCCAAAATGCAAGATTTTAAATTCTGCCCTGTATCTCAATTACGAAGCGAGTTATGAAAATGTTGTTAACGGAATCGTGAGTTTCATGAAAAAGTAGCCAACGTTCGCGGAAATCGCAAATCTCTATCTCTGAAAATAAGTGAGATATCCCGTAAGCACATCGAAATTGGGACAGCCCGTACAATAAGATTACCAGTTGGGGAGGCAAGCAACTTTAAAATTGGTATAAATCTTCAGTGACCGTTTTCTCCTCCTGAAGACCAATGTTTTATAATTGATAAATCATATAATGTGAGTGAGTTGTGATGATGTGATTCTTTGTTATTTCCAGTGCATCTGTGAGGAAAAGTGGGGCGACTGGCGTCCCCACCTGGCCATGATACTCTCCAACTCCACCCAGCGGCCGGAACTCAATCGCAAGGCCATCACGACCATGGGCGACACCTTGATGGGCCGAGGCGGTCTACACGCCGCCCAGTTCTGCTACCTAATGGCCGAGGTATACATAAATATACAGTGTCATTCATTAAGTCGGCATCATATGGGAAAAACTTTTATTAATGTCTTATTTTGGAATTCGAGTGAGACGTTGAGTTTTGCTTCAAAAAAGATGAAAAATGGCCTACTCAATCGGGGTCACGTGACTTTCGTAACATGTCAAAAGTGACATTTTTTCAAATTGATCGCTGAAAGTAGGCTTATTTGTTCGAATATCGAAAAAGTTTACTTGAAAAAGTTGTTTCTATTTCAATTTTACACATGCTTCTCGAATTTGATCCTTCTATTGCAACTTAACGATTTTAATTTTTTTTTAATTTTTCAAAATTTCTGTAATATTTGAAGAATTGTTAATTCCACGAAACTACTTCATACCAGTAGCTTTTTTATACTTCTTACTTTCAATTACTTATTATCACTGATTATGGACAGAAATATGATTTTCTTCAGAAAATGGTAATACCTGCTTCCAAATTCTGTTATGTTTGATGCAAAGTTGATATATCGTCACGCATTTAGAAACGAAATTCATTTAAACTGATCTTTTCAGTACTGAAAAAATAAATTCGAATGAATTTCGTTTCTAAATGCTTGACTCAAACATAACAGCATTTTGATGTTATGTTTGCATCAAACATAACAGAATTTTGAAGCGGAGATTATCATTTTCTGAAGAAAATCATATTTTTGTCGATAATTAGTGATAATTAGTGATTGCAAGTTAGTAGCATGATGGAGCTACTGGTATGAAGTAGTTTTATCGAATTTACAATTTTTTTAATATTACAGAAATTTCGAAAATTTTCAAAAAATATCGAAATCTAAAAAATGTTATAGAAAGATAAAATCCGAGTCACATATGTAAAATTTGAAATAGAAACAACTTTCTCAAGTAAACTTTTTCGATATTCGAACAAATAAGCCTACTTTCAGAGATTAATTTGAAAAAATGTCACTTTTTACATGTAGCGAAAGTCACGTGACCCTGATTGAGTAGGCCATTTTTCATCTTTTTTGAAGCAAAACTTGACGTCCAACTCGAATTTCAAAATAAGTCATTAATAAAAATGTTTCCCATATGATGCTGACTTTATGAATGACACTGTATATATCACTGTGAAACACAAACATGGAATTGGGAGTATATTTCGTCTGCTTTCAATCTCCAGGGATAGAATTTTAAGTAAACATTTTCCTTGGGGTGCGTTCGAATATATAAGAATATGTACTCTGTCGAATAGAGTTACTTATTTTTTTTCGTTGAAATTTACAGATTGTCTGTCTGTGACTGTCGTTCAATAATATCAAAGTGTTTGATGTCAAGTTGACTCTTGTAACTCAACAAAATAGGTGGGTATATTTTAATCCACTCATTTGGCAAGGTTATTACTGGGCATGCAAGGGTGAAGAAGTTTTTTGTTTATTGACCATTCTAGAACACGTGATTTTGACATGGTTTCTTGGTGGACACACAAACTATCTCTAAGGTGGTTACCTTTGACTAGGGTCCCTTGATGCAAACTGACGTATTTGTCATCTTAACAGGGTACGGACAGATCCTCGTCTCCTCTCACTCTGAAGTGTTTGTGAAACAGTTATATAGTTCCATCTTCATTCATTTCTGGGGACAAACACTAGATTTCTGACATTTGTTGTTTTTTAGGTTATATTGAGGACATTGGCGTATCATACGTAATTTCCACATGTAATTTCTCATTCAACTCTACATATTATATCCAAATGATGATGAGGGTTTGGGTGTAAGGAAGAAAGTTTGATGAGAAGTTAGAATTGGCTTTTCATTTGGAAAAAAAAAGATTTTCAATGTTTCTCTTCCACTTTTATGACCCACTTTTCTGCGCACCGTGTAAATTATTTAGTGGCTGTGATCATGGCGAGTGATCCGTTCAACATCCAATATTCATAATTCAATCACTGCATATCAATAAAAATGTTCCAGTTCCAAAACGGTTCATTTTGGGTATAGGGTATGAACAGGAATTCAAATCAGAGTTGTGAAGGGAATTCAAAATATTTGTGACACACAGGGTGTCCCATTGAAAATAACAAATATGACGTCACTCCCGAAAAAACCGAAAGCTTCACAATAACAAAAATATGATGTATGATTGGCCATTCAATTCAAATTATGGATGCGCTACTTCTTAAAATTTGACCAAATCTGTATCCTTTATCGTTTTGGATATCACTCATACTGTGCATACTTCTCACTCAAGTATATTATGTTGATATGAATATACGATTTTTCCATAAATGTTCATTTCATTCCTGCTTTCTTCTCAATATAATGAATCATGATAAATCAATTATCATTGATGTTGAATCCAAGTTGAATTAACAGCGATCAAACATTTGGAAGATACGTGTCGATCGTATATGGTCGCGTTCCGATTGTCCCCGTTAAATGACACATTTTTTGTCTCCTCATCGCTTTTGATACTCGAACATCAAAGGGAATTCGGAGAGTGATTTAACTGATAGATATTCCATAAACTGTGCTAACACAGAACAAACTGATAAAACCTTCAACTAACCTAACTAACTCTAATAGTCAATAATCGAACGCATCTCTGGCAAACAATTTGAATGAGATTCTCGGGTTGTTGCAAGGTGGCATATAGCGGTCTAGATAGTAGTTATGTCAGTTGTCTTTGTTGCGAAAAACAGTTTTCATTTTGATTGGTTTCATTCGAGGTCGGCTTCGGCAAACACGACGACCCCGAGTCACGTCTAGTGCTGTTGGGCGCCGATCACACGAAGCCCTATCCTGGATTCGCCACGAACGAGGCCATCCATATGACCGAGATCTACGAGTACGCTTGCAGACTGAACGACGCAGAGTTCGTCATTCCTCAGTTCCAGGTGAGATTTTCGTGTGTTATACAGGTAATTTAAGTATTTCAGCTTTTACGAGGGGCTGGAGAGACCAATTTTAATTCGGCAAAGCCTTCTCATTAATTGTACTTCGACTATAAAAAAAGTCAATAAACAAATGAAGAATGAGACGATGTAGATGCATTTACGAAGAGCACGCTCCATTAAAATCGAAACTTCTTTATTGAATTCCGAGGTGAAATGCTAACTTTCCTTGACCATAGTTTTGGTAGGCAAAATCAAGAGATAGTTAAACACATATATCTACTATTTCTTTATATGGCGCATCGCCTATACCATATCTCAACAAAAATGGGACCAAAATGAGAGGTAGTACTTTTTGAATCTATAAGGACGGAAAGTGAAGGATGGAAAATATTAAAAATCATCAATTATTGATAATACCACAGTATACAGGGGATCCACGGTGGATGGCCTGATATTTGAACACTCTCTATCCGTCTAAAATATTCTCATTGATACAGTGTTGATACAGTGTTGCTACTTCTATCAGAAACAACTAGCAACTTCGTTAATTTTATATGAAGCACCCTGTAGTTTATTTCATTTCCAGATTCTTCCTGATGAGCTGATTTCATCAATGTATCACACTTGGGGTCCAGCAGGAATGATTACAGAGATATAGGGTGTTCAAAATCGAGATTTTTCAATTTTAGGATGTTTTTGTGTCGAAACTATTCATTACTGACATTCAATTGAAACAGATACAGGGACGGACTCGTGCTGTTGTTCGGCAACACAAGTTCGTGAACAATGAAGCGACAGAATTATCTGGAATATTCAAAACATCCTGATATTACCATCGATTATAACATAGTTCCTTCCACCATTCTTAGAGGTATCCAATACATTTCAGTGAGTTTTCATGGTAGTGCATGTCCTATTCCAGGTTTACAAATTCCTGTTGGCGACCCGACTGGCGGACAGGGGCCTGCCGGAAAAGTCCCTCGCCTACCTGGAGCAGATATCCGTCGGCATAGTGGCCAATCCGGCACTGGTCCATGCTAATCTCGTCGACCACGTGTACAGCCTGGCGGACAGATTGAAGTTCTGCGACCCGGTCGACGAGGCCCAGGACGAGTCCGAGTTCGGGGCCGCGCCGGAGACCAATCGGCCGGATCAGTCGTGGCTGAGGGACCTCAGGGCGGTGCAACAGGACTATCAGGTAAATTTGTCGAATGTAGTAACTCATTCGCGATAGAAAATAAACGTACGCCACCTATCGGAGTTCTTGAAAGCTGTCAAAGCGGCATGTTTACTTTGTTTTCATTGTTCACATTTGTTTTTTGTTTGTACTTATTGGTCATATCATCAAAACAATCCGCTCAAAAATGTTTCAAGTTGCTGCCGTCAGGTGGGGCGACGTGTTATTTTCAATCGCGAATACTGAATAACAATAAATAGATACCGCGATTCATTCATAGATTATTGAATGAATGAAATCGTGAATGGTGGAAATAACTCTGCGGAATGCCAGAGAATTGATATTCCTCATTGATATTTTTATATTATCATTAAATCGGGATTTCTCCAAATATGTGTATGTGCATTAATGATTTGACTCTCACGTATTATTATAACATGATATTACATCATTTTGTAACGTCTAAACACGCTTTTCATCAGCAAGAGCAAGCCCTATAAACAGCACCACCACTATACATACCTGTTAAATATCAGGTTAGGTAACAAACTTATTTAACAGATTTGATACTGCTGAACTACATTTATTCACAAAATAGTATGCTTTAGTTACGAAAACACCGGAATCTAATCACACAAGAAAAATTTATAATAAAAACGACCGATGACATTTATTACAGCGATGATTTCTCGTCTACTACGAAACTTTGCGGTGCCGTCATGTTCATCTTTAAATATATAAATCATATTTTTTAGTTTGTTATGTACAGGGTGATTCACCATAAATGTCCACCCCTTTAGCTCACTTATTATTGAACCGATTTGAAAATTTGAAAAATCATCTAAAATGATTTTTCAGAAAAAATTTTTCCGTTGCATCAGAAAATACAGGGTGCTCGGACCAAACGATCTACAGAGTATTACTTGAGTTTTTCAAATGGAACACCCTGTATTTCATTGTATTTTTATATTCTCCCTGAAGAGCTGATTTCATCAATACATCACACTTGGGGTCTAGTGGAAATGATTAAAGAGATATAGGGAGTTCAAAATCGAGATTTTTCAACTTTGGGATTTTTTTGTGTTGAAACTATTCATTATTGGTCAAAACGGCTTTCATGTCCGTATCTCTCTTTTGATTCACTATCTACTGATATTTATTAACTGGAACAGATACAGGGTGGTCAGAATTCTGAATCTTGAATCATACTGTATATGTTCCAATTGAATGTCAGTAGATAGTAAATCAAAAGTTGAGATAGGAACATTGAAGCCTTTTTGACCAATAATGAATAGTTTCGACACAAAAAAATCCTAAAGTTGAAAAATCTCGATTTTGAACACCCCATATCTCTGTAATCACTCCCAGTGTGATACATTGATGAAATCAGCTCTTCAGGGAGAATATAAAAATACAATGAAATACAGAGTGTTCCATTTGAAAAAATCAAGTAGTACTCTGTAGATCGTTTGGTCCGAGCACCCTGTATTTTCTGATGAAACGGGAAAAAATTCTGAAAAATCATTTCAGATGATTTTTCAAATTTTTAGATCGATTCAAAAATAAGTGAGCTAGAGGGGGGTAACATTTATGGTGAATCACCCTGTACCTTACAATACCTAATAATGAGTTTATAATTATTAGTAGTGAATTTCTGACAATGATGTTGTTGTGGGTGTATCATGATGTTATAAAAGTTGCTCTATTTTTTATCACAAGCTATTCGTGCCGAGTAGATATCATATCAGATATCATCGATTTGACCGAAGTTTTATATAGGACCTTAGATGTGATGTCTTTTCCGCAAAAAAATCACTCTTTTTAATGTTACACTGAGGTTAGTTTTTCTCAGGTAGTGACCTACTAACATCAATAATAGAAATGTGGTATGTTGCCTTCAAGCAACCTGGTTAAAGAGTGGAATTCCCTAATGTACTTGACACTTGTGTTTTGAAGTTTTTGTATTTTGGGAGTATGGACACTCTGACAACATTGAAAAAAAATTGTTCTTATCCATCATTCGGTTGCCCCCTCACGAGCAACCCTCAGAAGTCCTCAAGAGACTTGTGCGAGCAAGGAATGACGGGGGTCTTACCTTTTAAAGTGTGATCTCAAACACTTTCTTAGGCCATCAGAGATATTTCTGCGGTTGTGGTGGGAATCGAACCCACCTATCGGCAATCCAACGTGGATAGAACATTGACGCTTTAACCACGAGGATACGCTGGAAAGTAAGACATAATCGCACATAGCGGGAACTGACAGTAACGTATATGAAATCAGTTTCAGAGAGGTGTCAAACTAAGAGCAAATTTGTAAAATAATAAGTTGAAAAAGTGTGCTGTTTCTAACGGCAAAAAGACTGGGAATCGATTTACTTTATTCAAATTTCCATCAATTAGAACACTATTAGAAAAATGGAAAAAAAAACAGCGCCCATCATGGAATATAGGTTCAGTCAACAAAATTTGCGAAGAATTTAAATTTTTTGGTTGAATATAAAATATTAATTATTGCATAAATCTATCAGGTGCACTTCAGAACTTCAGTCCTGAAGATTAACAGGGTTGTACTGAAGCAGACTTGACAATCGAAAATTTTGAACAGAAATATAAAAAAAATCGGGGTTTTCTTGTGAAGAAGAATGATGAATAATTCAGGAAACAGAAAACAAAATAGAGAGTTCGAATATAAAATGTGAGAAAAATACTCCATTTGTTAGCAAAATTCACATCTATTAACTAAAAACTATTTGAGGTTAAGAGAAAAAAATCACTATATATCTCTAGAAGAATACAAAAAAATTGAAAACACAAGCACAACATTATGAAAAACTATTGTAATTGATTAAACGAATGGAAGATTTGAAAGACAAATTGAAACATATTGGTAAAGAAATAATTTATGAGCATAATTGAGTCGGTTCTGTTCGGATCTTGTTATATAACATTGCTAAATTAACAATAATGTCATGATCATAAGATATTGCTCTGCAATTCTGTATTCGGTTGGGCGAATTTTTGAGCTGACAACACTATTTTTTAACTCGTTTGTTAAGTGTTAGCTACCGCTAGTGCCATTTTCTTATGAAGAAGAGTTTCAGACATTCCTTATTTATCTACTTTTTCATTTTCTGATTCCAGAATGGAATGATCACCCATCAGAGTATGCAGAACTTGGAGACTCTCGCGATCCCCACTTCGGAAACGGATCTGGTGCCATCAACGTACGCAGAAAGTTCACAAAATAATTGGCCGCAGTACGGTCAGCAGCAACAGCAGTACCAAGCGCAGCCCTGGCAAAATGAACTGCCCCAGCAAGATGCCCCAGCAGAATATCAACAGCAAGACAATCAAAATACCCAACAGAGTGGTGAGTGATTTTTTATGAAGATTGACAGTGCTACTAGCGCTACTATCTCACTTCCTAACTGTTTTTTTTTCACAAAAAGACAATTTATGTTCAACTAAAACTTGTTTATCTAAAATATATCAAGCTTCTCAAGTACACCAGAAGTCATAATAAAGTGAACCTAGTTTGCTTGGTTAGGTTGGAATTAAAATGGCTATGTGTTGCTCAAAATGACCTCTATTAACTTCCAAATGATTTATTGCCAATCGCTCCATAAGGTAAAACTGAGTCGCTCATTTATATCTTTTCAAATGCTGAGAAATGCTTCCGCATTTAAGCATGTGAGCTTCCACTTTAAATAGTTTGATTTTCAGACTACAACCAGCAACAGTATCAGGATCAGCAAAATAATTATTGGGAAGGTCAACAGCAACAGTGGGGCAATCAGGTCAACCAGTATAATCAGGAGAATGTTGATCAGCAGAATAATTTCGGCGTGAATACTCAAGTTGAGGTGAGTTTGGTTGCCTTTTTATCGTTTGATTGTGAAATGTTGCTTTTCCATACCAATGCTATGTTTGCGCTCTGAATTTTCATTTTGAGTTCCAAGTTGGAACTATTAAAACATTTAAATGTTCATCGAAAATAAGGATCCAGTAAAATATAGATGAGTCTTTGTGAAAATAATGTACTAGACTTACAGAGTGATGAATTTTTAACAGAAATGAATTAATGGTATGTGGAATATATTGGGATTCAAATAAGTTCTCAAAATCTTCAGATAACTTGAAGGTATATTTTCGAGAGTAGTAAAATGAGAATAACTGCTGAATATATCAAATGTTAGATTGTCAATACTAGTGTTTTGACGTGATTTTTCTCCACGACTATTTCCACAATTTGAATGAAGTTGAAGCCTCATATTTTTGCAACATATTGAATATTTTGATTAATGATGAATAAATACAAAAATACAGCCAATTAACCACAAAAGTATTCATTTATGATTAAGTATTAACTAAATTGACTTCTTCAGTGGATATTGAAAATGTTCAGAGAGATGACGTCCACTTACTGGTTTGAATAATGTTTTTAGGTATGTCTCTGTATATTTTTGTACATTCAGCCATATCCAAAAAACGTAAAATATCGTCACGAAGCGTCTCGCATTTGCGAAAAACGTCGACGCATACATGCTGTCGTTGTTTTTTTTCTCGATTGTCGATGTTTTTCGTTGCAAAGGCATATGCGACGCTTTCATGACGAATTTTTCACACTATTTCGACATTTTTCGGCGTTTTGACTGGGGTCGTTTGGGTATCCTAATTTGGGATGGAGCTCTTCGATGTAAATCAGTATCAAATCTCGATGATTATAGATAAAATCTATGAAAATCATGTAATATACCTGTTGAAGGCATTTCTCTTTGAATTATATTCCATAGATATTAGTACATATAGATCCTTAGTATCAAAAAAATTTCAGCAAAACGATGTTTTTCTCTGTATTGTCATGTTGGCATAAATTTGCAAAATTTTTAGGTGAACCGTGGATAAACCAACTATCCAGAATTCAGAATTTTAATTTTTTTTTTTTCAAATACTAAAATATCTTTCATTGCATATGATGAGGTATTGATCATTTCCTGCACATTTTCAATTTGAAATGTAATTCTCCCCCAAGTTTTCATCATCTGCCCTTCGATTACAAGAATCCACAATGTGTAGCAAAAATATGAATCCCCGAAGTTCAATCAAGAATCACCACGATATTATCATTTCAGTAGTGATCGATCTAATGATTTAGTAGAGATATCCGCCGTATATTAGGGATCTAACTCGCTTGTTTTTTTGTGCCTATCCCGGACGCAGCCTAAAGAGGTAGAGAAAGACGCCCTAGAAGTAAGTACCGAACCCCTAAACACCTCACCTTTCGCTCTGCCAATGGCCAACACTTTGCGCAAACGTTTAACAGCACTCAGCCCCACCCTAATGCATGGCGATGCGATAGAATTACAAAAACTAAAACCCGACAACACCGCTAAAAGACAGTCTGTATCCTCTATGGGGAAAAACCACAAGGAAGATTCCAGGTATGCGAGGCAAGAGAGCTCAGACAGGAAGAGCTCGTCGCGAGAGAGCTCCGATTTGGAAGTGGAGACTTACATAGGCAGGCGCAGACAGAAGAATGTTTCCTACAGAAACGAGGAGAAGTCACAGCTCATCCGCTACAAAGATAACACTAAAGTCATCACAATTAAGAACGATTCCAGGCACACCAAGTACAACACGTTCGATATGAAGTGTGGCGAGAAGGGAAAGCTGGTGAAGTACAAATCCCTGGATATACCCGAGACGAAGACGGTTGTGAAGTACCTGGAACCTTCCAGCAAAGTGTCCATATCCGCGGAAGACTTCCGTTCGGATTATAGGTTCTCGAAATTCGACAGGAAACACAAACACGACATAATCACCGACACTGTGGACGCTTGGGCGAGGAAGAGCAGCAAAAACGTGTTCTCCAACATCAAGAACTCGCTGTTCAAGGGCAGCTCAGAGAAGGAGGTCGTTTATAAGCCGTTGGTTTTCGGCGGGACGTACCCCATTGATTGTCCCACTTTCGAGGCGAAAGTTAGAAGGCCAGATGAGACGGTCAAGTCGAAACTGCCCAAGTCACAGAGTGTTAATTTGGGCGGCAGTCAGTTTCCCAGAATGAGGGAGTACGGGCCTCCTAGAACTTTCGATATAGATCAACCCATTTGAGCTTGTTGTATGGCGAGTTGTAGAATTTTTATGTGCAAGCATATTAGGATGGATGGCTTCACACGTTATTCCACTATTTGTTTTTTAAAAATGATGTCGAATCTTGAGTTCAGTTCATTGGAAAAGACTGTGATTGAATACATTATCTGTAATATAATTGATTTTTGTGATATTTTTAACGAATACCTCCACAACAAGACGCAATATGAACACGAATTTGTAACTAACGCATCTAACAGTATCCTCATCTAACCTGGAAACAATTCCATTAAAAATGTATACCAAGGCCAAGGGTGATTCGTTTTTTTTACATGTCAAAAGGCTACTATAGTTTTGATCTCTCATTAAATGTCAGACTTCCTTTTTAATTTGAGAAACGTATTTATTCTTTGGCAAACTTTGATCAGCAGTTTTCATGTTTGCAAAAAGGTACACAGTGGCGTTGCTGAATAGGGTTCACAAAACGAAATTTTTCTGTAAGCCTCTTGATGAATTTTCGAAAAAAAATTGTGATTTTGAAAGAGAAACTCGAATCATACTAAAACAGTAGAAAAAAATGCTTTTAAATTCATCATCTGAATCCTTTACCGACACCACTATGAATCATTTGCGTACAAAATTACTAAGATATGAAAACATTCTATCGCCCTTGTGTAACATTTTTTATTTTTATTTTTAGGAGACAATTTTACTAAAAATGATGTAGAATAATATTGACTTCCAAAAATGAGACTATGACAATTTCCAACGTCATACAGGGTGTCCTTGATAATTTGATACCTTGATTCAACTTTTTATGGAATTGTTTTCATGGGAAGTAGGATACAATGTATGAAAATATTTTTATATGATTAAAAACTTACTGAATTATCCAAAATTAATATTATACTAATATACCCAGTTGGTGTAATATGGTTGATTTCGAAAATTTTATGAAGACTGGTGGTAACAGTTGACTGAAAATGACTTCAATGAAACGCCTTAAAGTTAAACTAAATTATTATCTTGAAAATTCTTGTTATATAAAATGCTCACAAGGAACAATCAGAGCAAGATCATATTACATAATTTTATTTGCATTAAGAATTTGGTATAGGATGTAAGAAATTTGCTTCCGAGAAATCATTTATTGAACATTATTTTCCAATTAATTGAGCAATTTGAATACTAGAGAGTGATATTTGTTTTAGAAATCTTCACAAAAGTGGAAAATATTGGCAGGTCCTTATTCCTGAAAATAGTTGATAATGGGATCTTGTAGACGATCAAAAGTAATATAGAAAAATTTTAAATCATTTGGATCAGGTACCCCTCCGAATAAAGTAAAAGAAACGTTTATTTTTCAATAATTTCAATTTGATATGAGAATCTCCCAAACTCGCCAATATTTTTCAACGTTCGTAGCAACATATCAGTGCTCGAATCTGCAACTTAATTTGTAACACTCTGTATGTAACTAGTTATTTATCCTTATTCACTTGCCGCTGATTAAAAAAGGATATTTCTGACATTTCATAGAAGCACAAACTCATTAACGAACATAGGAAACTGCATCGTAGTTGAAAAAAGTTACAAAGTAATGCAACTTGAAGAAGTCCAGTTATTGTTGATGTTAATCTTGTTGAATGTTGACAACGACGAAATTGTTGAACACTCATTCGTACATGTTGTGTTACATAGTTTAGAGGTTAGATGTTATTAGGCAGTAGGAGGTTTAAAGGGATACATTATTTTTTGTGAATTTACAGCTTGTAACGTTTTTATGTTCATTAAAAATGATGAATTACTAATATGTTTATTTTGTAAGTAACCTAAAAAGTGTGTTTTCAAAATAAATGGGGCACAATATAATCATGTCAACAAGGTGTTATTACACTTATTTTCAAGGTGAAAACAAATTTAGCGAAACTTTAGGAAACTGTCATGCAAATCAATTCACTTGAAATTGTGTTATTCAATGGAAAGTTGTAGACATTAGTAAAAGTAAACGTGATTATGTTAATTTCTCGATTACTATTTGTGAAACTATAAAAAAAACAAAATTTGGTTAATATTGGTGCGGAAGAGTTGTGCACTGTGTGTATCTTTACCACAAGGCAGTATTCACTATTCTATTTCGGCGTATTTCAAATACCTCTGTACAACTATCGGCTGGAATATTACGTATCTCTTGTTACTTGATAGTCAATGTTCACTTTCTTGTACATTCAACTGACCCTGTATAGAAGTCTATGACGTTTACCAAATCGGTTTTGTTACAATTCAAACATGCTTGAAAATTCTGTTCCATTCTTTATTTACCGGCAAGCGAACACGAACAGGGGTATTTGAGATATGCCGGTATATATTTTTTCAAAATGCCTGATAATCGATCTCAAAATCTCAACCTTTTCAGAGGATCATTATAGTATGTATACCTTGAAACTATAGTTATTTCAAATTTGTTCACATGATCCAATAGAGATAGTCGAATCGTCTCTGAAACTCTTTAATATTTGAATTTGGTTTACGTGTTGTTCTTTCAGAACACTGTATGTAATTTGTTTTACTCTGACACACCGTGATGAACGAATGTCTACCAGCAAAACACCTCCATACAGACCGCGCCAGCATCTTCAAAATTTCTAATTATCAACAGAAATTCAGCGAACTGAGATGCATGAAAACATTTTGTTCTAATTTCCCGGTCACACTTTCAACTAACCCACGTCTACTAACCCATTCTGCCTGCCTGCATCGTTCGCTGCCCGACCACATGATATAGTAAATTGTCGCTCTGTACTGTTTCGCAGGGAACAATCCAGCCGCCCCAGATCAGCCTGCCGAACCAGTCGGGTGGCAGTGGGCGGTTCGACGAGGCGGCTGACGAGGCTCTTGTGACGGAGTCGCCCGAGAAGAAGCAGCCGAGTCCGGCGAAAAAGGCGCAGAGCCCCGTTGCAGAGAAGACGCAGAGTACTGGGTGGTTCGGTGGCATTTTCAGTAAGCTGGCGCTCAAGCCGAAGAACCAGATGAAGTTGCCGGACGACAAGAACCCGAAGGTCAGTGTATATTAAAGATAATATCTCTAAATTTGAAACAAATTCACATTACCACAACTATCCTACTAGAAATGGTAATCTTCTGTACATCCCGAAACATAAAACTATAAAATTTGAACGATCCCCCGCTTACCAGGGGATTATATTATTCAACCACTTGCCTGAAACAGTTAGAGAGCTGAACAAAAATATCTTCAAAAGCCGAGTGGAGTTTTTATTATCCTCCAAAGGCTATTATAGCATTGGGAAATTTATGTCAGACTGCGATATAGAGTCTATTTGACGACGTACAGCTAAATTTTATATGTTTTTGTACTTCTGATGTAATATTTGACATATAATATGACTATTTGTAATTGATGTAGTTGTTTTTTGTATGTTCTATACAACCCGACTTGTCCTATACATTTTGTGGATGTCTGATTGGATCAATAAAATAATTATTTATTTATTTATTTATTTAATCAGGAAATGAAATTCGTTTGTGAACTGATGCAACCATTCACGATTTTGACTTTCGGTAGCTTCCTCTACATAACTGATGAGCTGTGCTCTTGAACTGCACATTTTTTTCTATTATGACCACCCCAGATGTATACAGGGTTTTTCAAAAGAGGTGGCCGCATTGCTAGGATAGGTAAATTACTGCAAAATAAGTTGTTGAGTAAAAAAAATCCGTAACGGCGCCCTGTATTTTAGATGCAAGGGGATTATATCGAAACTATTGGCAACATTGTGATTTGTATAAATATGTCTTGAAAGCTGACACATCGCAGGAATTTGATTTTATATCTGACTCTCATAGAAGGCGATAGCTACATGGTTTCAACTAAGTAGTTTTGAGCATAACTTTTTCGAAGATATATTTTATAGTCCATATTTTGTTTAAACTTGGCCATCATTCAATTTTACACCTCTTCTAATTTTTATTCTAATGCTAAAGTTGATTATTAAACATATAATCACAAAAAGACAATTTGATTAATAAGAATAAAAACATGGAATATTCGATCTGTCAAAAGTGTTCAAAATGTCCTAGTTTTTTTTAATGAATACACAATTCTATCCTCAATTTCTCAAGAACGCATTAATCTTCTGAACGGTTGAGGATCAGCTATGAGGTCATTATGTGGTGTTCTGTCTTGCAACTCTTGATGTGAATTTACCTCTGTAGCATCGACTTTTTTTTTAAGATACGATCAAACTGTATTCAAATTAATTTCGATATTTCTCTTGCGATTCTTTGTCTTCAACACTAGAATAGGTTTTCAATAAATAGATTATGATTTCATATAATACTTTTAATCAGCATCAGTTATCACTTCATCATTGTCGAATCAAATAATTTCGCAAAAGAAACACCGTATCGACTTCCACCTAGAGTTTTTTTCTACATTCATGCAAAAAGCAGACCTTTATTGAACTATATTTAGTGGAAAAAGAAGTTCTTTATTGCACTTAGTGCAATAAAGTTTTTATTGCACTCATCTGCCATTCGACTTCAACGTACTGTTATCATGACAAACATTTTTTGTATTGCAACTGTGGTTATAGAAACGTCAGTCAAAAATTAATTCTGACAATTAACAGAATTGTACCTAGTGCCGCACCTCAATAAATCATTTTTTGCTTTTTGCATGAACGTAGAAAAAATATTGTATGCAACTCGTGCAAAAATTGTTTATTGCACTTGTTGCATAAATAACTATTTTCTTGTGTAAAATTCAATGATGTTCAAGTTCACATAAAATTCAAAAAAGTTATGATGGAAACTACTCAGTACGAATCGTTCAACTAGCGCCCTCTATGAGGGTCAGATGTAGAAATAATGAATGTGATGTGTCAGCTCCCATAACATATTTATACAAAATTTCATCACAATTTCAGTAGTTTCGACAAAATAGTAAAAAAAGTGTAAACCTACCCCTCATATATTAAATTCCTTTGCGAGAATTTTTGGGCCATCAGAAAAATTTCTCAATTAGAATAAAACTTGTCTGGATTCAGAATGTATAGCTGCAACGCATGTCATCCAACATATTTGTTGATAAAAATATTTCCACGCAATGTTCGTTTATTTCGTTTTCAATCTAACATCCCTTCCAGATCGTATGGGACCAAGAGAAAAAGAAATGGATAAACGTCGACGAAGACCCCAACGATCCGGCGAACGAGTTCAAGCCGCCGCCCAAAATGTCGGACCTGATGCCGAAACCCGCCCCGGGACCTGTCCAGCCAGTCTCCACGTACCAGCCGGGCGGCTATATGACCCAGTCTGGTGCGCCCGCCTTGGGCAGTCAGCCGGCCTCGCTGCCCGCGGGTAGAGAGGAGAGTTCGAATGTTTCTAAACCTGCTCAGCAGAATATGTTCAAGCTGCAACGGGGGAGGGGAAGTAAGTGTTTGCTGTTAATGCACTGATGCCTGACATTGATGGATCATTGTCATTCTAAATGAAAAAATTAGTTAGTAGGCGATAGGTATAATATTGTCTCTCCATTGACCCAAAATTTGTCTGCCTATCAATGGCGCTGGTTTACTGAAAACATCGAGAGCTGTCGGAAATGCCAGAAACAGTGTTATATATGAATGTTCATTGTCAGTTCAATTAAATCATTGTTCAATAGTAATGTAGCATTGAAGTGTCGTTCACGAAGTTAGTACTTTTCATCATTACTGAATTAACAATAAAATATGTTTAATACCTGTACATCTGAATAGCTTTCTTTAACTTTTTGGTAATTTTGAATCTTCCGTAAACGCTGTTTCATAGGGAAGTACTTCTATATCTCAATCATCATTTCTTTATCATCGCTTGTATCAGAAGTATCTATGATTTCGGAAATTATTGTAATAATAGTAATAAACTTCAATGAGACATTCATAACTACTCAAATTCCAAACATTTCCTACTCGTGACTCGAATATTCGAGGTTATGTGTATCGCACCGTCGTACAAGCACAGTTCAGAAAACTCGAACTCTGAGTGGGCATCCAGCAAGTTTGAAAGCCAGTGGAAATCATTTCTCGACAAAAGTTCGCTCTTGAAATTCTCAGCGGACCACACAAAACACACTCAGTGCCGAAAAAGTTCGAGCTAGTGCGACGAGTGGAAAACGCTATAAAAACATCATGTTTTTGATCATCAACACAGATATTCCAACCAATCAAAAACGTGTATTTGGAAATGAGTGAAATAATATGCAGAACTACCTCCCAGATTATACGAACGTTATTCTGGGACACCCTGTATATGGTACAGGGTGCAGTGTTGCCAATTCAGATTTCCAAAAGTCGCAAATTGGCCACCTTAAAAAAAAACAAAAAAACACCAGACAGGGTGGAAATGAATAAGAATAAATAAATAAATCTAGTGATTTTCTGGTGGTTTTAACTTCAGTTCAGACAGATCACTAGATAACACCAGATAAAAAAATCAGATCATAGGGAAAGTTTTTTTAAGCAGAAAACAAAACGAACAATATATATTATTCATAACATCAATGACATACTTAAGTATATTATGTTACATATTAAACAAGACATAAAAAACAACATTCGAGATCGTACAAAAACAGCCAAAATTGGACTAATTGCAGTTGATACTAGTTTTTCTATAAAAACTTTTCTTCAGTATTACATTGTGAAAATTAAAATATCATATAAAACAAGAGGGAATTTGCGTCCTCAACCACCAGATTTCACAATTTAATTGAAAAAATTCATCAAAATAAACACCATCCACTAGATGCCATATTTTGTCACAAAACGAGAACTCAAACCACCAGTTCTAGTGTGAAATCCACTAAGTTGGCAACACTGCTTGGGGTCTAGCGGGAATAATTACGGAGGTATAGGTTGTTCAAAATCGAGATTTATCAACTTTGTGTGCAAACTATTCATTATTGGTCAAAACGAGTCATATGTTCCTATCACAACTTTTGATTTACTATCTATTGACATTTAATCGGAACACTACAGGGTGGTTCAATGAATAGCCTCGACAGAAAAAATCCTTGAGTTGAAAAATCTCGATTTTGAACACTCTATATCTCTGTAATCATTCACGCTAGACTCCTAGTGTTATTCATTGATGAGATCAGCTCTTCAGGGAGAATCTAGAAATGCAATGAAATACAGGGTGTTTCATTTTGAAAAAAATCAACTAGTACCCTGTAGATCGTTTGTTCCGAGCACCCTGTATTTTCTGACGTAGCGGAGAAAAACTTTATCAACAATTATTCTAAATGATGCCTCAAATTTTG